TGTGACTAGTCTTCTCTCCTGCCTCAAAAATCATTTGGTTAGGTGTACGTGCCTACCAGACTGTTGTGTTTTGGTCCCAAGTGGCATTGCTTTATTCAGCTGTGGATATTTAAACTTGAAAGGGCAATTCTAATGTCATATTGGCACCTCTCAACTGAATTGTCAAAACAACCCATGTTTGGGGAGTTACAACACTAACAATTAGGCATGAATTTGTTGACTAGCACTTTTCTGGTACATCTGGGCATTTTCCTGTAGTACTTTGTGGCTAAAGAACTGAAGGTGGTCACTATTTGGACTTTATTTCTGATCTGCAACTTCAAGGTGTTTATAAAGAAATAGTTATGTGCCAGCTGAAAGGAGCTCTTAGCCATGGCATTTGTCATTCCAGCCTTAATAAAGGGGGCTAGGCAGTAACAGGTTCAAACAAGTGGATTTATTATGTTAGTCTTACAGTAGCAGCCCTTCAAGAATGCGTTAAGCAGCAAGGAACCGCTAAGATTTTCATAGCAAATTTGCAAATGTATGTCAAACTGAACTTGTGGAAGTTTGCACTGTTCTGTAGGGATCCTTCATTTATGAGATTCTGGATCCTTACAAGATGAGAGACAGACAGATCTGTATCTTGCATCTGTATCGTATGTATCTCTGTTATATACTGATGTATGTTGAAATGATTTCTGGGGCAGATGCTGGATTCATGGCTCTGTGTCCAGATTATTTGAACATTAACCTTAATTATGTAATTATCATTTTCTTACTAAACACACTTCATACAAACCAGGAAATATTCAGCTGTAAACAGGATTGTCTATACTCTGTGATTTGGTTCGCATTTACTTGAGGTCATAATTTTATTTTAGAAATTCATTTCTCTTTTTAAATATATTTCAGTGTAAGTAGTTGATATATTCTGTGAATCATAATGACACACAGTCAGAACCCCATATTTTTATGGGTCTGGCAGTACAGGATTGTCCTGTGACTGTGATTTGGTTCGCATTTACTTGAGGTCATAATTTTATAATTCATTTCTCTTTTTAAATATATTTCAGTGTAAGTAGTTGATATATTCTGTGAATCATATGACACACAGTGCCTAGCTCTTATTTCAGCAATCAATTTAATTTATCCCTTAAGCATTAAGATGAAGTAGCATAAGCTAAATTATGGTTTTATTTAAGTTTCTGTATTTCACAGCATTTTCTTTTCCTCCTCCTATGTTACTCACATCTCCCCAAGAATCCTGCTTCTTATAGACATGGATCTGTAAAGTGGATTATGCATATCTAGGCATCATAAAGGAACACAAACGATCATAAAGAGTTCTTGCAACTTGATACAGTTTAATACATGGGTGAGGCAATGTTTTAAGCCCTTGAAAATGAATTGAATTGTAGTAGCATCAGATGATTTCCATGTTGTGATGATGACTAATACATATATTTCTCAGCAGGAGGACTGAATCAGTGTGAAAACTCAGTGGCCTTCTGAACTTAATCAGAGAAATGTTAAATTACAGTGGAAGACTAAGAGAGAACTCCCATTTCTAAACCTGAATCAGGGCTCATTATATGAGATTAAGCAAGCTGTCCGCCTTTCTTGGTTTCAGTTTCATTGGATATAGAATGTATCTCTGTCCAGAATAGAAGCATTTCAAGGCCTGTATTCTTCAGTCCCTGCATAATGCTTTGATACTGTGCATCAAACAGATGAATTTAAGTTAAACTACAGTTGCTGTACTCTTAACACTTATATAGTAGCATTCTGCTCAGGAATGGCAAATCATATTTCTAAATTAAGATATATTTTTAGTGAAGTTCAGAACAGAATTTTAGTGTTGTATCCAAGGTAGTGAATGTACTCCTCTGATAATTTCAAATTCTGATTTTAGTTATAAGGATAATAATATTGTCTTAAATTCAGTGGTTCTAAACCAGACAAGTGGTACTTTTTAAACCTGCCTGTTCTATAGCAGTGCTCTCTCAACATCTAGTCTTGGCCTGTTTTCCTAAATACTTCCTTTTAAAGATTGTATTATCAGAAGAGCTGTGAGTTCTCTGGGAAATTTGGATGTGTTGTACTCTATATTAAGGCAACATTTGCTAAATCCACAAAAAAGTTTAATGAATAGCACCCAATACAAAATATTCCTGCTGAGAGCACTTGTTACAGAACAAAAACACCTGTTAGAACTAATGATTCCTGATAAATACCAGGTTTTGTAGCTTTGAGATGTGCAGGGAGAAATTTACAGTGTTTGTTTATTACCACATTTTATTTAACAGATAATCTATTTCTATACTGCTACACATGTAATTTCAGACTTCAGCCAGAATGAATTTTTCTAGTGATGGAGCAAGGCAAAACGAGCTGTTTCAAACCATTTGGATAACTTTCTTTCGCAATCTTTGGACATTTTGTTGATGAAAACATAAGTTTTTGCAGTTTTGAAGACCGACTGTGGTTCATGAACTTTCAAGGTGATGCTTGAAACTAATTTTGTTGAAGTTAAGGTTACTCAATACTTTGTGAGAGTTATAACAGTCTCACAAGTGGGCATGAATGCACAGCAGAAAACTGGGATTAAAGTACAGGGAAAACAAATTATTTTAAAGTGTCACTTATTTCTGGTTTTAGGTCTCAATCAAAAAATGTCCAAATGATTGCACAGATCCCAGAAAAACCGTGTGCCGCCCTACATATTAAAAAATATTTTTTGTAAATGAAGAGATATTTGCACTTTGGGCTTGCTCTTTCTTTTTAACTAATTCTTTTTTCCACACTGCTTTGAGCAGCTGTTTTCAGTGCTCATCTCAGTTATGTTTATATTGGGTGGAGTTGAAACCCATTTAAAAACAATAATTAAACAATTAAAGTGCACCCATAGTATGGGTTTCCAGTGACTTGGATGCATAGAATCAGTGAAGCTAAGTTACAGTGGTTTTCCCTACACTGGCACAGCCTTTTAGGTAGCACAGCAAGCTTTTGATTTATTCAGTACTGGTTTTCCTTCCTCTCTCCTTACAGAAATCTGGATGTAAGAGAAAACTGAATGATTTCTCAGTGGTTGTGTTTAATTGGTAGACTTCAAGGCATTTGTTACGCTGAGATACACAGGAAATTCAATCTCTCATCCGTAGGTACAGATTTAGATAAATGTATCTAAACTAGAATAAGAAATTTACATAAAGTAATCCTTTTTGAAAAAACTGTAGCTAAAGTAATTTTGATCAGTATATCGTAAGCCAAATTCTGCCCATGGATACCTCTTTGGCTTTGGAAGCTCCTATGACTCTAGTATTGCAGTTCGGTTTCGGTGAGAATAGAGCTTGGTTTTAAATAATTAAGAAGGGCAGAGATCTCTGACATCTGATGTCAAAAGTAAGGGAAAATTCTTCTTTCTGAAGATGAATTCCCCAAACTAAAATCACCATCTCAACATTGTTTTAATAAAAGCTTTTATTATTTTAAGCTGCAGGGTGAAGTTATCTGCCTTTCACTGCCAGAAACATGAATATAGCTGAACTTGTGGCCTCTTACCATGTGTGCTTGTGACATCCAAACTGCATCAGATGTCTCTCAAATGTGTTAGAGTTTGTGTAAACTTAGTTTGCTTCATTTCATTATTTCCTATGAAGACTAGTATTTCCAGAAGTTTTCCAAGCTGGTTCACAACTGACACCCAGCTAGCAATGACTCTGCATCCTTTAGAATGGCTGCAGTTCTTGTGTACTTTAAAAGAAACTTAGGCTACTCAGGTAAGATTGAATTGAAAGACAAAAAAATTCTTCTCTTTGGAAGGGCTTTTCATTTTTTTTACTATGTAATATGATCTGTTCTGTTAGCTTTTTGAAATGAAGCAGTTGAACCTTTTATGGGAAGTGGCGCAAAGAAGTTTGAACTGGAGTTAAGGTGGAGAGAGATTCTTTCCTGTAAAGATTTAAAAAATATTTTGCAAAGGTTCATTTTTCCTGGGAGAAAATGCATAGGGGATAAAATTAAAAGAAATCTAAATGTCAGAAAGTCTGGAAAATAAAATTTGTCTCTGAGATGAATTTATTGAATAAGAAGATCACTTAAACTGTTGCTCTCCTGTTGCATGTAACATTATTTCTAATGTAACGGTACCCAGAGATTCCAGTCAAAGTCACAGCCTTTGTGGATTTTTACATAAATATTAGTCCCTTGCTCTTAATTGTTAGTAATGACTTTACTTTCATAAAGAGTATTCAAAACTGTTAAAGCACTTAATAGTTAAATCTCATAAGAAGTCTCTGGAAAAAGTATGTAAACCTAACTGTAAAACAAGTCAGTAACTGATGTGGAGACTATCTTAAGCACGTCTGACATTGTGTTGTTTCCTGCAACCAGACAATCATGCAAATCTTGAATGATTTAGTATTAGTCTATTGGGGTATGTGCTCCTAAATGATCAATGCATTTTGTTTATTCTTTTTACAATAGGTCAGCTCTTTGCTGAGAAACTGCTTAAAACAAGAAAACTAAGGTGTATACCCTGAAACAGAATACAGAAAATGCTGTAGGAAAAGTTCCTCTGGCTCCTGTCAGGAGAGTAGATATCTCTGGTTGTACTCTTCAGGCTTTGCCCTCTTACTACTTTACCTGTTTTACTTTTTTGTTTTGCCATCACCTCTTCCTCTAGGTTTTCATTCCCCTTCACTTTCCAAGTAATGTTTGCATTGAAATGTTACATGTATGTCCTGCTATGTTCACCTATTTGTTGTGTCTCAGTCAAAAAGAATTGCCAAATCTTTTGTGCGTGGATGTATTATTTTTCCTAATGGCTAGAATATTTCTGAATGATTGGTGAGTCAACATTAAAGCAAACATGCCGAGAGATCACAAAGATTGGATAACATGTCAAGCATTCACTGAATATTGGACTTTCTTTTATGAATTATAGGTTAATCCCTTTCTCAGATAAAGTACACGTACAAGTACACGTCTGTACTAATTGCTGCTTTCTTCATTTACAGATGCAGAGCCGCGGTATTTGGTTTCAGTAAGACCAGCACGCGTTTCAAATAACAAGAAATCTTGTTCAGGTATTTTACCATTACTGCATCTCTTTCTTAAAGTAGTTAAAAGAAGACAGAATCTTTTACTGGGTTTCTCTGAAAAGATATTTGTAACTGTAGGTGCCTGACTGGGATGCACAAATTCCATACGTGGGAAGGTAAAATGTAGGACACTATTTCCTAGTCAGTAATTAATCACACATGTGGTGTTCAAAACATGAAGAAGTACCTAAATTTTGTTCTTGTAAAAACTCTTACAAATGAGAACTGAAATTCAGAATACTAATTTCTGATGTTTAAAGAGGTCACAAGTGCATGCAAAAAAAGTAAAAGTATTGAAATACAGTGATTTGGTGTATTGAAGTTACACTTCCTAAACTACCAGTAAGGATTCCTTCATCCATGGATGTGTTAATGCTCTTTGTTTCTCATTGGAAATGGTAACTTGTGTGTGTGTGTGTATGTATCTGTAAATCAGTACTACTACTAAGTTTGCTGATGCAAGGAGTTAAGGAAAGAGGGATGTTTCTAGCTTAAACTATACATAGCAGAGCAGAAATCAATTTGATTCTTGTCTGTTCCAAAGACATTCTATATGACCTTAATCATGTCATTAATATTGTTAGTTTCTAATTCCTTACTTTAATATGGAGATGACTCTCAGGATCACTGGACTGCTGCAAAGAATAAACTGATATTAAATATGTATATGTTTATAGTTTGAGATCTTTATATGAATTTTTTTCTAATTCCTGGTAACTGCTTGGGATTAATTTCTTCTTGCTCTTGGCCAGATGTAAAACAGTATGTCTGGAAAGATTTTGAAAAGTGATTTACCTTTCAGATGCCACCTCCCTCCCCCCCCCCCCCCCTCAAAACACAAAACAAAAAAAATGCCCAATGCACTATTTGGACATTATTAATTTTTCTATCTACAGTCTACAGAAACTAATCGGTGGAACAAGATTCAGATAACTGACTTTTCAGTCCAGCAGACAAAGGTGTAAGAACAGCTATTGGTTTAGTGCTAGCTAGATATATGTAAGTCTTTTTAGTAGTGAGAATAGTTAAACTGGACACATTACCAAGAATTGTGGTAGAGTTTGAGTCGCTGCAATTTTAAATTTACAAATGAAGACTGATTACATTTCTAGAAGATACACTGTAGTTCAAACTGCAGGTAATACAGGGGAGTTGTATGGTTTGTATTCATATAGATCAACATAGATGGTCACCAAGGTAATTCCTGGTTTTACAGTGTATAAATCATTGCAGTCTCTAATTGGGAACTAATGGCATAATAAGAGTCATAATCAAAATCATATGTAAGTCCTCCCAAAACCCAGTATGATTTCAAGTTATATGAGAGCTTGTTTTTTCTTTTCCTTAAAACTCACGTATTTTTCATGTTTCCTCAAAAAGTGATCAAGAAAAGGATTTTGCTATAGATAGCAGATTTGCCAGATAGTTTGGTGAATGATCAAGCTGTTTGTTTTAATTTTTTCTTTAAAAATGGAGAAAGAGTATAGGAACTGGTCCAGAAAACAAGAAAATTATTCAGACATTTGCCCTTGGGGAAGTACCATATGTTCCATAGTATTTCAAAGCATGTCATACGTCCTCTTAAGGGTAGAGAGTGTTTTTGTTTGTTTGTGGGGTTTTTGTGGCAACATATTCATGATCAATATAAAGTAAAAACCCACACAGTTAACGTTTCTAAATGAACACACATGCGTTGGTGGAAAGTACCAATCAGACTTTAATTGGGGCTTGTCAAGTGAAGAGATATTAGGTTTCAAAAGGCATGAAAAGAAAGTTAGTCAGATCTGTTTCACAACAGTGAAAAATATAACCCTTAGATCAGTGGCTTATAAACTTTTGGGGAATTTGTGGTTACCTGTACATTTTTAGGACATACAGATCCTTTAGATTTTTGAAATATGTAATGTGATGTAAAGAATATATGAATTTCCTTTAACTAATCATATTTCAAACACCAAAGTTTGTCCTTGGGCTTGTAGCAATCCACAAACTACAGGTTCAAAATAGTTGCTCTAGATCATTTCTTCATTTTCCAACTATTAGCGTTTAAACTTTATTTAAAGTTAGTTCTTTCTCCACATGAGAGTTGTGCTGCTTCATTCAGACCAAAGTTAAAGGTAAGTATCATGCAAAAGCTGAACACTTTGAATGTAGTAGGTGGTTAAAAGACAAAAATGTCGCCAGATACAGACCTGACTCAGATCTGCCTACAGTTAAAAGCAACAGAATTTTTGTAGGTTTTATTTTACTCTTGACGAAGAATGCTGTAGAAAGTATGAATTATCTATGAACAGTGCAGTGTTACTAAGAATCCTGCCAAGAAGTTACTATTTCTGTTACACACAGAGAGACTTCCTAATGTCCTGAGCTCTGTGTAACACCTTCTGTGATGCAGTCCAAGTCAGCCAGAGCTTTTAAGTTAATCTGCATATAGCTTATTCTCATACTAAGCATACCAAAACCACCCACTGTTCATTTTCAAAAACTAGGTTTAACTGGAACATAGGCTGAAAAAAGAGAAATACAGAAAACTTATAATAAGACAAAATTGAAACGAAGTTTAGTAAACAAATCTCCACTCTACACACCCAATAATAGCAAGAATTCATTTAGGTTTACCCTGGATCTGCAAGTCTGGAAGTGAACTCTTCCAATTTCTTCCTAGGTTGAAATACATGCTGTGCAAGTCCAGAGGGGACCTAAAAAATAGTCTTTCTGAGGCTTGTGTGTCCAATACCTGCTTTCTAAAGTGGTCTCCTAATCTGTGCTCCTGCTGCCTGCTAGTTGCATCCTCCCTTTCTTCCCCCTCCAAAGTGCCAACTTTGTTCTGCACTTCTTTCCTGTGTTCATGCTCAGTTGGCTTCAGAGAAGGAGCAGTCTCCCTTCCTTGCAGATGTTTCACTTGCCTCAACAAGAAGCCAACAAACAGATCACAGACACTGTCTCTGCCCCCTTTTTTAAATCATACATTAGAAATTGTGACCATGAAAAAGGGAGAAAACTGTTGTACCTTTCCCTTCAAATTTAGAAGAGTACTAGGTCTTCATTTACTTTATTATCCAACTGCAAAACTTTCCCCTACATAATGCAGGAGAGAGAAACTAACTTATAATTGGAATTATATGTTTCTTGTGTAGGTCGGACCAAGACACAAAAGCCTCTGCAGCTGGTAGTTGGCACTCTCACCCCAACCTCTGTGTTCCTCTCTTGGGGCATCCTAGTCAACCCTCAACATGACTGGACAGCAACAAGTAACTGTGCTAGCGACAGGTAACATAACAGAAAAACGTTTTTTTATGGTGATCATGATTTAATTCAGTGTAGTTATCTGGTGTGGCTGAAATAAGTTTGACAGTGGAAATTAAAAAGTTGGAAGCGATAGTTCTGAGTGTGAAGTTTTCTCATTTACTTAAATTAGTACTTTGCAAGCCTTTACTTGCATTGAGTGCAAATTTAGTTGGACGTCTACATGCTGAAATACAAATCTTGCTATTTCACACTAGATCTTTTGTTCTTCTTAAACCAATGGCCTTGGCTCTACCTTCATTTGTATCTGAATGAATTGAAAGAAACTTTGTCAAATCATAGGAAATATATTGGTTTAAAGTTGGTAAATAGAAGTAAAATAAGTCTTTTGCAGTGCTGTGGTAGGGGAATGATGTTTTAATGCTATTTGATTTTTTTGTTTCCTGTATTTGGTCCTACCACTACACTACTTTCCTGATATTGATACAGTACAGTTTTCAATAATTTTCTGTTGTAAGTAAAAGAAGATCTCTTCTAGTATAACGTTTTTGATTTGCTGTAATTATTTAATGAGTGGTACAGTAGGTGGGGAGCTCAGGAAGACTCACCAAGTAGCAGTTTCAAGAGAAGTCATAGTGCTGGGTAGCTTCTCGGTTAAGTGCACCATTACATTTTAGGCAACTCTTGGCAGATGAGTAAAATTCATCTGCTGCAATTATTGAAATTGTTAATATAGATGTTTTCCCTGCTCTGTCATTTCGGTGTTCTCTTTGTATTCTTCCTTTTATGAGAGAAGAATGTTTTTGTCTTCATTTACATCATGTGAAGCTCCATTCAACTCAGCAGTGTTTTATAAAATGAAGAAGAAACTTTGTGCACCCATGTTTGGGATGCATCTACACCTGGTTTGCAACTATCATCTTTTGTGTTTTTAATGCATCTTTGCATTATTGAAAACACTTCCCTATCTGTCTAATTTTTGTCTAATTTGTAGCTGTCCAATTTAGACTTGAATCTCTTTACTTTGGTGTTGATAATAAAACTCCCATTGATACCATTAAACTGGATGTCAAACATAGATTATGTTAAAAAACCCATCCCGTGTAGCCAATATGACCTTTTTCTTACCTCCCAAAAGTTTTGGACTAACCCTTTTCAAGCTTCAAAAATTTCTCATGAACAAATTTGGATTTTCATCACCAACCAGAATTTCAAACACTGTTGAAAAAACAAGATTAATGTTTATTAGGAAATTGTTATGGAATATTAGGAAATGTCCAAGCATGTAATTTAATTGGATTTTCTTAAGTAGAAATAAAAGTTGGCTTAAGTTTAGATTTTTGCACTCTTAATCAAGAAAGAAGCAAATAGTTTCCTACAGTTAGAAATCGAAGAAACGAGCTGATCATGGAGGATCCTGTAAAGTGTTCTGCCCACATAATGATTAGCACCATTTTTGCCATGGAACTTATCTTCTCTACCTGCTGTGTCAGCACCAAAGTTACAGCACCCATTGTGCAGTGGGAAGGAAGAACACTTTAGAAGAAGCGTATATCCTGTATTAATCCACCTGGAGATTCAAGGCATATATTCAACCCACCACAATGCCTTCATCAACTTTGGGTTTTCTCCTCAGTAACTGAATATTCTTGTTGGACATTCATTGACTCAAAGTTTGAACAAACTCTTTAACATAGCATGTAATGTTTTCCACTTAGTGCAGTGTTACTGCTGTCTTGCTGTGTTTAGAATATACTCTATATGTTTGCTACTCTAGTATGAGAGACTTGCTTTTACCACGTCTTTGTGTCAAGTAATGGTACACATCTCCCAAAATTCTGGTTCTTTAGTTAAGTGTTGTTTAGCCCAGTTAGCTGATTCCTCTCAGGTGTTTACTTTTACTGTGCCCTCCATTTTAGTGAAATGTTGTCAGGCTGTACTAAAGTACCACCTATGTATTTCCCTTTTGCCCCCATAAGAGGACTTGCCTGTAAGAGTTGTATTGTTCATTTTGTTTGAATATCTCCCTGTACTTCAACTCTAAAGATACACTGACACTCATGAGTAGCTAGTTTAAAAACACTTAAATCAAATTACAAATGGTCATATCAAAGTATGGGTATATATCTACAAGCAGATTTCTATTTGCAATCAAGCATAGCAATAAAGTTAATGAAGAAAAAAAAAATTACTTCAGTGGTGCTCTTATTTTGTTTCCCTTTACTGGACCAAAATGCTTGTGATTTGTATAAATGATGAGAACAATTCTCCACATGACCATGGTGTGTATTTCTGTAATTCCAAGCAGAGATTGGAATCAAATGTATTTCTAGTTAGTGTATAGAAGAAAAATTATTAATTTATTATAATAATTTGAATGATAATTGATAATGTATGATAAGAAAAAATTAGGAAGTAGCCCATCCTTAGCAAGTTAGCATCGTGTTAAAAGTACAAGACTTAAAATCAGATAAGGGTTTCATCAACATTTGTATCTATTGCAGGGGCAGTCTACTTCACTTACTTGATCCTTTTTCATCTGGCATGTTCTCCTTACTGTGACATGTTGAATCGTACTGTTAATCATCCTCAAGATTGTTGTATAGTGACTAACCTCTGATCTTTGACATTGGCAGTATGTGGCAATTATGACCTCTTAACTCCATTCTGTCAGTTAATATCCCACCAAGTTTTAGGTTTGTAACTCTGTATGACCTGAAATGGAGCCACTGTTCTCAGCCTCAGATTTTACCATCTCCGGATGGACGTTAGGCTTTTGTACAAATGTTGCATAATTTAAGTTAGTTGAATATGTTACTGACTCAGAAGATGAAAACCATATGGAACAGCATGGATCTGTTGGCCAAGATTTTCTCTAGTGTGAGTCTGACCTCAGTGGGGATATTCCTTAGAAGATCTGGTTTTGTGAGCAAATGAGTTTTGAAAAGAGGTGCCACGTTCTCAAAGAACACTGGTATCTTTTATTGCTTCAGTGAAATTATTGCTTGCTTATTGAGGGCACATAGTGTTCTTCTGTACCTACAAAGTGCTTTTAAAGAAACTCCAACGAAGAAAAAGTTCCTGTGCCATTTTTTGACAAACCATTCTTTGGTTGCTTAAGTCTCTAGAGATTAAGGGCATAAGCCAATAGAGTGCTACATATTTCCTGAAAGATAACCCCAAACCCTAATTCTTTGTGGAAGCAAAGATTATCACCACCATTTGTGTGGACCAAAGTTCTTTGCAAGGTCAAATTTTAAAGCCTCCTTGAAGTGGCTATCATCTCTGGTCAGAGCCTTAGCACTAGAATGCAAAACAAAGCAAAACAAAACAAAAAGACACAACCCCCAAACCTCAAGCGATTAACTTTATGTAATTGATGAAAACTACATAACACCAGAAAGGTTCCACCAACAATGTGGAGTTAGCTTTCTCAGCATCTTCTGTTTTCTGACACCAGTGTGAGGTAGTTGATGAGGGAGGATGGCAAAGTCATGGTACCCTGCTGCACAGTCATGTTCAGTTCCTCTTTTTATACTTCCAAGAGAGCAGAGAGACTTGTTTCCTCTCTGCCTTTCAATGTTCAAACAACCATTAGTGGACAGAGCTGTCGTAATAAACATACTGAGGCTATGTTTACTGTCCATTTAGGTCTGAAAAAGAGAGTATAGACTATTGTATAGACTTTTCTTGGCCTTTCCTTTGGTTAAAACGACTCCACAGATCCCAAAATGGAGCAGGGGGTCAAAAAAGGTGGAGTTTGACCTTCAGTTCTTTGGGCAGGGGGAGTCGGGAGAAGGAACAGAAAATGTTTTTTCCATGCAATACAAAAACAGGGTTTGTAGATAGAATACTATATTTTACTTTATTGAGTGGATTGTATAGAAAAACAAACATGCTTTCAGATACATGTGAAATAGAAAATTAAAACCTGAAGGTATGGGTTTTTTTGTGAAATATATCTAAGTTAAGAATTTTGACAAAATTACATTTATGTGAATAAACAATAAACAATTGTTTAAATTTGTTTGCCTGTGATTTAAATGTCCTAATGTCATATTTGTGAGTAGTACAGATTTTGTTTTACTTAATTTGTATCTGATGCTTTAAAAAAAAGAAAGTAAGAAAAATAGAGAGCAAAAAACAGAGAAGAATCCATACTGACTCTTTATGTTGTACAGCACATAGAAGTAGGGTTTTTAAAACCCTAAATTCAGAAAGATATGTGCATGCATCTCCTTTTGTGCCTATGTACAAATCTGTGTTACTAAGCAGCTGCCAACTTAATCATATTTTGTGTTGCAAATGTCAGAAAATGTATTTTAAACTTAGCAGAATTTCTTAAGGAAAACATACTGCAGCAAATAAACTTTTTGAGTTTCAGATGCTTTTGAGTTACTGCTGTGGGAGTATATGCTGAACGCTCATTTAAACATGGAAAGATTTGTTGGTGCTCAGCCTCTCATTCTTCAGAACCCCTAACTCTTCAATTAATTTCAGTCGTTCTACTAAAAAATTTAAGTAAAAAAAGTGAACTTTAGTGATCATGTAAAAGTGAAAACTAAATTAGAAAGTGCTTTGCAAACTTAACTGGTAGCCATCAGCGATGTAATTCTTTCCATCTTTTTATATATGTCAGTGTCTGTTTTTTTAAAGTAAACTTGGTAACAAAAAGGAAACACTATAATCCACTTCATGTGCCAATTTGTGAAACACTCAGTATCTGAAAAATCATAGTTCAAACCATTTCTTTTATTACTTTCTAACACTAAATGGATGCTGTGCTTCTAATGAAGTCTAACTATAAACAAATAAATGTATGTGTATGCTAATAGTCTTTTTTTAAAAGTCTGATTACATTCCTATGCACAAAAGTGCAATATGTTTTATAATCTTTTATCTATGGCAACACAAAAGCACAGAGCAGGAATGTTCTTATATCTCCAAGGCTTAATTGTTTGTTTAGTGTTATGTGTGACTAAAATAGTCATGATTAAATTGTTTGGAGTTTTGTTTTGGATCTGGTTCCAAATAAACCCATGATATTTATACAAACTGACCTAATCTGGAAACCTCATAAAACCATCTGCCTTATAAGATTTCCAGTTTCTAATTGTTTGTACCCAAATATTTGACTGTGCAAGCATTTTCTGGGAATCTGGCTGAAAAGAGATTTGGTTAACAATTGGAAAAATAGCACTGGAATTCTTGGCAAGACAGTGTCATTCATACTGATATATGAAAACTTAAAGTTTTGCCTACCTATCCTAGAATTTTGCTTCTCTTAGCAGTGAGCGAGATTTCCTTCATTTCAAAAGCAAAAACCCTGTGGGCTGCTTCTTTAAAATGGTCATCATATTTTGATTTCTTGTGTAATAAAAAGGCTAGCTCTAAGCTGAGAAAGAAGAGGTTTCACTGCCTTGCATTGTGGAGTTTAAAAAAACCAACTATGTAAACTGAATGTAGAAAGGATAGAAACATCCTTTTGTATCAGGCTGATAGTCTTTTACATAGATTTGCAGATATAGTAATCACTATGGTGGTTGGCCTATGGAGTAGTATCGTACTCTTGTGGCTTCCTTTAAATGATGAGATTGGTTTTGCTGCTTTTAGTTCTGCCGTTATTTCACATTTTATGTGCATCATAGGTGGAGGCAAGTGAAGTCAGAATATTGTAGAAGAACACTTAAAGCTCTAGTGTAGAGAGAGTTTCAAGAATGCGAACATTAAACATATCATGGTGCTGCACAAATGCTTATGGAGAGAGGCTGCCTTGGCAAATGTAGGCTCTTTATTTCTTTCCTGTGTTTTTTTTTTTTTTGGTTGGCTTCATTACAGCAATTAACTCTGAGTGGAACAGTATCCCTCACCTGCTCATGACACCTTCTGTTTAAATTGTTGGAGTTTGTTATCCTTTCAGTTGTCTAGTAAAAAGGAGGGAGGTAAAATTTCTCTACAGTCCCCATGGTGGTTTGCTTGGAGGTATCTTCTAATGGGTGAAAGATTGCCTGCTAGGGAGAGAGTGAAAGAGATTAATTTTTATGGAGCTTAACAAGAGAGGTCTAATGTTTTATAGAGTGCTAGCTGGAAAAGAAGTGAAGTGAACCCTGAAATCTTTTTATTAGTATTTATTGTAAATAGGAATATAGGTGCTATTCACTAAACATTGTTCTGATAAAATGTACCCTTTTCATATCCCCCACCAAAACAAATAAAGAATCAAAATTAAAAGCAGTTAAATATTGCCAGGTCTTTGTACATGCTGAGAATCTAGATCAAAATAAATTCTCACCCAGTGTAACTGGGTGTGCCACCTCCTTGCTGAAACATCAAACTAGCATTCACAGCTGTGAATAGCTTTCCCGGGACTGTTCCAATTACACTTTACTTGAATAGTGTATTACTTTCATGTTAGTTATTAGGGCCCTGCAGTATGCAATCAGTTTTTCATATTCTTGCCTCACAATGGGAAGTGTTTTATCTGAGAAACAGTGTAGTGTACCTTTCCCCTCTATGTGAATGTGGCTGTGCTCCATTCCAGCCTGCCTTCTATCATTTTTGGGGGGAATCTATGGAGAGGTTTCTCTGAATGTTTGCAATCCAGGAGAAGCAGTTTTGCAGCTTCTGATACGCATAGCAGGCCAGCTGCGCAAATTTTGTGTGTGTATGTCACTACCATAAGGGGATGGATATACGTGAGTGGTGACTGGATTTTACTGCTTTCTCGTGTCTTCAACTATATGTGTTGATTGTTTGATACTGTATTTTTTCTGAAAGGAAGGCTTGAAAAAGGGAGAAATTAAAATGACAGGAAAATTTAATCAGTAGAATGTTCTCAGGCAGGCACTGAAATTGCACTGTATTTGGCAGCTTTTTGGTCTGGTTTAACAATGAATTGTTGTTCTTTAACGACAAAACTTGGCATTTCTGAATTCATACTTTATAAACAAAAGATTGCATGTTGTTTACAATTTGGATATTTTTAATACTCAAATGATTGTGACTTGCAAATTTTGAAATGCAACTTCATTTTGGTTGCTTTTTATTGAAATGGTTGAGGAAATTCTGTCATCACAGTCAGTGTTTTTAGTACTCGTTGTGGCAAGTTTCCACTGAAATAATTACACCCTTGGTGAAGTTTTTACAGGCTTGGAAATCTTGGAGTTGAGAGCACATTTCTTCTATGCTATATGTTTCTATTTCTAATTGCACAGTTTGGCACAACTATGAAAATCTTCTTGTCAGATTTTTAATAGCCTTGAATTTTAGTGAAAGATGTTTTTTTGACATGCAAGTGTTCTCGGTATTTTAATTGATGTTAGGGAGAAGGAATTTGCAGGTGTGGAGACAGTATTCAAAAATAGAACATTTTCTACAGTAGAAGCAAGTGGGAGCAGCCACTTAAAAGCCTGTTCATTATGAACAAGTTTTCGATGGGGTTTTTTCCTCCTCGTTTCTGATGCAGCTATTCATTTACACTGTTAAATAACTGAAATGAATCAGTATACTCTTTTCTTTCCATCATATACAATCACTTTACTTCTACCCCATTCAACTAAAACAGGTAGGAAAAGGTAAGGTTGAAGATGAAAACAAATGAAATTTCCTCTTTCAGGCAAGCTGGGAAGAAAGTGACTACTTCTACTTGTGATTCATATTTTGATCATAGATCTATCTATACCTATTCTAAATCCCTTACCAAGAGACTGTATGGGGTCCAGCAAGATGCATTTATGTTGCAGATGGGATTTGTTTATTACTGTTATGTCCTTTGCAAGATAGTGACAGATTTCAAGTAAGCTTTTCTTGTCTGTTAATGTCTGTGTTACTATGTATGAAAGGATTAAGAGGATGAAGGAGAAATTTTCCTCATTTTAATCTTGCCAATAATTTCTTGTTAAAAACATTCTTTGTCAGTCCAACTGATAATTAGATCTTACATCGCTTGACATGAAATTTGAGTAGATCCCAGAAGTAAGGATGCAGATTATTACTTCGTACTCCAGGAATTGATAAGAGGAGAGAGGATATTCACTACTTATATTTCTTTCCTTTACAAGGTTTGGGTTAGACTATGGCTTGTTTTGAACGCAAAGTAGTACAGCTAATGAAGAGAGTTATGTGAGCCAACATAAATATTAATTTTGTAACCTGGCAGAGTACCTGAATGAGCTGAATTACAGCAACTAAAACCGGAGAACCTATATTTTTGGTGCCAAGAAAACAAGTTTGACAGTTATGAGATAAATTATGTAAACAAAGTGAGTCTTTGTGTATGAAAATATTTTCCATGATTGGCACTTGCCAGTCTTAGATTGTGTTTTAATAATGAAGTGGGAATTTCCCTGTACTCAACAGTCATCTTTCACATATACTCTACTCTGGAAGTGCTCTTCTGTAACTTTGGCAAAAGCAGCTTTGTGCATTGACAGTATTATAGTTGGTCCATTAAGTCATTTTAATCTAGACCTTTGATACCTTTTCAGTTGATAAAAGAACTTTTTTTGGTTGTTTTCTTAAGGTCCCTTCCTTTCTCTCCATATATTTTCCTATATAATACCTGGATTAAATCTCATAACCCAATTTTCTTTTTCTTTTTGCTTCTGAATGATTCTTGGACACGTACCTGGGGTTTTAGAGTTGTGTTTGTTTTATGGCCTTAATTTGCTTTATTGAAGTGTGGAAAAATGCAATTGGATGGAATTCATCCTTTTTCAGCCGATGTAAATGTAAGATGGATACGGACAATGGATATGCTTTATTTATGTTATGTGTAACAATTTTCAGTAATACTTGGATTTAAAAGTTGCCAAATCTCTCTGAGATTTGTTTTTACAAAAACAGAAAACCCCACCCCATTCTGGCAGTGATACAATATGTATATTGAAAATGAGACTGTAGCAGGCAGTGGAGTTCTTGTGCCATAACTCACCATTTACATTGCGTTATTTTATAGTGGTTAGCATCGCAGTCATACTTTTTCAGGGTGGTGCTGCTTGATTGAATTGGGCAATTTCATAATCTGTTAGCATTCATCACGTTATTGATTTAAACTGCTGAAAGTAATGTCTTGGTTTACTTTCTCATTTGAAGTGTGGGCAATACATAATGGGATCACTGAATGAGGAATGTATTATATAAATGTCAACTATTACTGGTTTTCCCTTGAGAATAATTTTGGACTAATTTTGAGGGGAACACCTTCCCCTGGACGGATATAGAAGATTTTGAGAAATTGGTTGAGGCTTCCTGACTAATAGACTCATGATTCAATTGACTGGTTCTGGCATATGTCAGAATCACAGAAACTGCTTGCAAAACGAGCTTGCAGTTTGTGGTCAGAACCACACACACGGTTGGTTATGAATAAGGAGACTGTTCTTTCGCTCTTTATATAATACTCCTAATGTCGGGGTCTGTATGATTGGGAGCATATATGTATCTAGGAGATGACTGGGCTAGCACTACATTTGCAGGGAAGATACGCTGGCCTTTCTGATATTTGATAACCATAAGGGGCCAGAAAGAACCAGAACAATGGTGGGTAGAAGTAATTTTAGTAATTCCTAATGAAAGTAGTTGTAGTGAGTTTCTTTGTGAAGAAAAAATTTTTTTTTTTTTGTCGAGCAGGTTCTATACAGTTCGCTACAGAGAAAAGGATAAAGACAAGAAATGGGTTTTTCAGCTTTGCCCAGTTACAGAGACGGTGGTGGACAATCTGAAGCCAAACACACTTTATGAATTTGGAGTTAAAGACAACGTAGAGGATAGTATTTGGAGCAAGACTTTCAATCATAAGACAGTTCTGTCTAGTAAGTATTTGGCAATAGTTAATCAAATAGCTACTCAGTTTGACAGTATTTTTTCCTCTATTGTGGTATTACTTAAAGTAAGCTACTGATCATGTTTTCATTGTTTAAATGCTATCCCTTATGCCCCTAACAAATTCTTTTAGGAATTGGTGAAGCTAGAAATAGTTTGTGTTTGAAAAACTGCTACCTACCTTTCTGAAAGTTGTTCTCATTGCAAATAGTAGAGGATCTGCTGCAGGCTGGTAGAATTCTAGCAGTGATTAGTTTAGATACACATAAAGTGTCGAGTATGTATGTTTATACTCCTAGCTGGATTCCAAGCTTTTTCCTTGGGCCTTGGATAAGAAGATCATTACTAACTTGAGTTGATGGAAAGTATTATCCTTGTTTGAATCTTCTTTTATATCTGCTTTTACGTTCAAGCTGGTTAAAAGCCAGACAGGGCCTCTCCTATCCAGCTTGCAACACAATGGGCCCTTTAAGACTCTGCTGGAAAGTTGAATTTGAAGCTAATTTTCAGTCAAGGAATTATCTAAATTGTGTTTGAAGCATACACTCTCATGTATGCTTTTGTTTGGATTTTCATGGAGGCGGTGTATGGCATCTCTGGCTGTTCTCTCAGTCATATTTTAAGCTTCTTCTCCAAAGTCCCAAGACAATGCAGGCAAGGTGACATCAAATTAACCCTTGAAAAAACATGTACTGCTCAAAGAATCACTGCTATCAATGGAGGAAATACACAGCAGCAGAGTCTTCCTCCTTTTAAAGAGACGAAGAGAGGACTTAACAGACATTGTCCAATTTAATTTATTTTCCTCAAGCATTTACATAAAGGTATTTCTGAGCATGATGCTGGTCAGAAGATGCTGCAAACTCCTATGCTCAGTATTTCTAGCTTGACTCGAAATGTGAAGAATGGGAATACTCATAAGAGAGCCTTATTCATATGAGATTTCTGGCTGAAATTTGATTTGGACCTCAGTTTCAAGTTGTAGGCGAGTTACACAGCTTGATATACTTGAGGGTAAGGGAGGGGAGCAGTAGGGTGGCTTGTAACACTGCAAAAGCCCTCATACTCCCTAATAAAGAACTTTGCTGGCCTTCATCATAAATTAGAAAGCTGTAACTTTGAAGAACCTGCCCAGTGCCCATAGAGTCATTTTAGCAGTCCAGAATAATGCCATTGTTATACTATGAGCTTAAAGTGGAGAATGGTGGTAGTCTTTTCTCATACCTGCCTCACAAAAAGAAACTCTGTTTCACAGGTCTAAAAAAGGCTTACTAAAATGGCTGGTTTTCCTACATTTTAAAGATTTTAAAGTCATTTGTAGAGCGAGTGCTGGAATATATTTGAGCACTTAAAATAGGAGGGAATGAAGAGTGCATAGTGTTTATAGTGTAATACTTTGTTCGAGACATTGAAATGTCCACTGGCATCACCAAATTTGCTCTTTGTATATAATGTATTTCTAAATACTGTTTCTTACAGACACGATACATTTTTAATAGGCCAGAAGAATCATTCTTGTAAGTTAGGGAGATAGATAGATTTGGATTGAAAGATACTTTCTTGTAAGAGTTCATATTCTATGTAGATGAGATTTCTTTTTCCTAGAATGTAGACTTGTGTATTCAGTGGGTGCTTCTGCAGCAACTAAATCCAGGGAGCTTGCTATTACCCTGTATGTCTACATTCTGGTCTCCTGATAAAGTATCTTGTAATTGGAAAGTTGACAGCACCTTTCAGATTCAAGCCTTTCATATTGTCAGTGCGTAGTAGGTAGATACAGAAACTGTGGGCAGTAAACAGAGAGTGAACATTTATTATAAATTTGTAGCCATCTGTCTGCATAGGAGTTTAGCAATCAGCAAAAGTGGCCACTTTTTTTTCTGTTTTAACTTACTGTCTTGTAGCAACTCAAGGTCTTTTCATATATTAAGAAGCATCTCAACCTAAACCAAACATCCTTCACTGTAAATTTTCTTTCCTCACTGAAGAATATATAAATGACTATACACTGAAATTCCTGTTGCATGTTCTTGTATTTGTTGAATCCACAGGCCAAATTTTTGTTATATACTAAACATGTTGGGAGGGGTTGGGAAGAGAATCTGTTTTTAATTCATGATTTGAGGAAGACATAAAAGGCATGGCAAATGTTCAACTTCAATTTAACAAAAATTTATCAAAAGAGATGAAAGTAGATTATTTCTGACCATCTTAACATGATTTTCTCATGAAGTCAGTGTGAAACTTTTGTCAGTTTTCCCTTGTCTTTAGGACAATAGTAGGTCCTGTTCCTGAGAAGTATCAAGCACTTTGAAAGATTTTTTTTCAGGATAGCTTGTCAACTGAAATGTCTCTCAATTGATATTTCTTTATAGTTGATTTTTTTTTCTATTGCTTATCTGTTTTGGATGGAATTGTGAAGAAATACGATAACATTTAGCTTGATTCTTTTTTACACGCCTGTCGATGGAAAGGGAACAGAAAACTGTAAAGGTGGAATATGTAGACAAAGTTTGAAGCATCATGCTAGAATATAAGAGATACTGGGAGGGCCTGTTTCTCCTCTGTACTTAACAGCTGCATCACACGAAGCTTCTAATACTAAGAAGCTAAGAGGAAAAACCTAAGAGAAAAATTTCAGAGATTAAATCCATGGGTTACTTTGTTCATATGTTGAGATAAAGGAAACCATGTCAGACCCAAAGAGAAGTGATATGCCTGTTCTGTATTGCCAGTGCTAAATGTGTATTTTTTTTAGAAGAGTGCATTTAAAAGCAAGACTAACTATTGGAGACCTTAAAAGATGCTGCTTTTAGCCAGTCCTAGTACCAGCCTGACAGATGGGATGCAGAAATTCCTCTTTCAAGTTTCTTCCTTGCATATTAGTGTTGTGGTTACATTAATTTTATTAAAGAATCCTCTTAGGCACCTCTGACTTCTCCTTAGTAAGTCCCAAAGACCACCTCAGCTCTCTTATCCCTGTTGGAGGAGAACAAGAATACATTTCATTTCTTCTCTATCAAAATGTGAAGAGGAGGCTTTGCAGATAAATTAATTAAACTGGAGAAACAGGACCAAACAAAACTGTTACATGGTGTGTTTTTCTACCTTGTAATTAATCTACCTTGTAATTAAGTCTTTAACTTTCATAGCTATTGAAAAAGGTGAATAAACTTGGTTTGCTTTGCTTTGGACAAAACAAAAAGTAATTCTGTGTATTTATTCCTCTTTCTGTCAAATCAGATAAAAAAGTAAATGGACAACTCCAGAATATGTACAAGTTGGTACCTAATTCCCAAACACAGGTATGCAAAACAGTCTTGTTTTTTATACCAGATTTGTATTTTGTATGGTCAAATTTTTGCTTCTCTGTTACAGTAAAGTGAGAAAGAGATTATGGCCACATATTGCCAATATAAAAAATCTGTTAAATCTAAGACTAGATAACTGTTTATATGTGTGGATTGATAAAATGATTGAGAACTGTAGCTGAGATGATTACATCTACTGATTCCGGTTTAACAAAGATGAAGCTGATGGTTTCCATGTGTAGATTCTAAACATTAAAATTTGCTTATCCCTTTGTAGTAGTCAGGTTTGTTAACCTGTGATATTTCTGGTGGTCAGTTCATTTTGTGATAAGGTAGTGCTGTTATTTTATAGAGTAATCTTGTGTATACCCAGGTCTTCTAAAATCATTAGTCATCCCATTGAATTCACTGACAGTTCTCATATGTGAGGCAAGTGTTTGCAGAACCAGAGGAAGCTGGAAAGGGCAATTTAACTTGCTTATCGAGATTGCTAGGCAGTTCATTAAATCCTTGCAGGTGGCAAGGTAGAATTTTTAACTTTCATCAAAGCATTTGAAGATTTTTTTTTTAAATAAATAAATATAAATATTTATTCATTCCATTTTTTTTTTCTCATCTGGCATTGCCATAACAGCTATCAAGCAAGCATGGGTGGGTTTCATACATTTGTGGATTTACATACACAGATACTTTTTGCTTCCAAGAGCTGAAGCAAAAATGAAGGATCTGTAGATTGAACCTAGTAGTAGACTAGCTTTAATACAGTGAAAAATAGACATTTTATTCATAACTTCTGAGCATTACCTCCTCTTCTATGAGATCAAATTGGTTTCTTCATATTTCCTTTCCTTCATTTTTCATCAAAGTGCAAGTTTCAGCAGCTAATCTTCTGGGGTTTTTTTTGTTCTGCTTTGTTTTCGAGGTACTATCCATGAGGTAGACTATGGGATAACTTCCCAAGAAAAGTTGTAGAAATCCTTGTTACTTCAGACATTTTTAAGGGATGACTCATGAGTGATTATTATAAGGGATCAATCCATTCTTCACAATTCTCTTCTGTCTCTGATTTTCCAAGTGTTTTCATGGTAGGAAACGGTCATGTATGGTTTCTCATTGTTCATTCTTCACATTGTACAATACTGTAAATGGTCTGTAATTATCAGACCTGGAATTCCTTCAGGAATCAAACCACAGTCCATTACATACATTTTCTTGTAGGAATAATTAGGTATTCATTTAGGACAGTAATACTTTAATTATAACATTACATACAGAGTTAGAGCAGAATAATGCTTAGGTTGTTGGAAACATAGTCATATCTCACACTCAAGAGAAAATGTTTTATCTGTGAGTAGTATGAAGCCAGTTGATTAGATACTCAGGAAGGTGCTCATCTCATTATGTTGTTGATGAAATCAACTTTACTGTTCTTCCCATTGGTCTCATAAGCATCTTTAAAGTTACACATGACAGCCCAAGACCAGGTAATTCATTCTGGCATCTGGAGTGCAAGCTGAGTTCCTTTCTTCCTCTTAGCAAACCCTGTGTGCCAGGACCCTGACCCTGTTATTCTGCTTCTGTGGAAGTAGGGATTCTATTTATGCAAGAGAAGTCCTGAGAAAGTGAGCTAAAACAGTTTTCCAAATATTTGCACAGCTTAAGCATGAAAGGAGGACTGGAGCCAACATCTAGTCTTTTTAGTCAGCTTCACAGGGCTTAGCTCCAGAGCAGTACTGCTTTATCACCCTCCACAGAAATATCATCAAAACATTCCGTGGATTATTCTAAAAATTCTCTTATCATTCTCACTATTCTGCTTCTGTGGAAGTAGGGATTCTATTTATGCAAGAGAAGTCCTGAGAAAGTGAGCTAAAACAGTTTTCCAAATATTTGCACAGCTTAAGCATGAAAGGAGGACTGGAGCCAACATCTAGTCTTTTAGTCAGCTTCCACAGGGCTTAGCTCCAGAGCAGTACTGCTTTATCACCCTCCACAGAAATATCATCAAAACATTCCGTGGATTATTCTAAAAATTCTCTTATCATTCTCACTTTAGTGGTGCAAAAAGTCATAAAACTAAGGCTGGGAAGCAGATAGTGGCCAGCTTTTAAGTTTACGTTATTACTTCAGTTTCCACAGTATTAGGTGGGGTATGTTTCAGTGGTGCAATCGCATCATCAGTGCAAAGCCATAATGAGTGTTATTTAGGCCAAGCTTTGTTTGTGCCTTATTTTGCTCCAAAGACACAACTGGCTCATATCAGCATGGTTCTAACTTCTCTGTAAGGAGACATTTTTAAAGGATGTTTGTTAAAGCAACATTACCGATCCATCTAGTCATTCTGCCCTTTCAACATCGGTCACATACCAGCTTGTGTTTCTTTTGGCAGGTTCATCCTTTAAGTTTGACTAAGCTCCTGGGGCTGTGTGAGCTACAACTAATGAGAGGGGAAGAAAAGGAGAGCTCTAGGGATGGTCATTTTTTTTCCTTCCATAAACAATGGGTGGTGGTAGGGTGGAGATTACGCAGTAATTTAGAAATTTATTTCCTCTTCTGTCTGATTAGGTTCCTGTAATTTCATAATGTCAGTCTGAAAGGTGGGGTCCTCCTCAATTTTTCCAGCCAAAAAGTGGGACTCATAGCTTCTATCATTTGTTAAACTCTGGAAGAAAACATGCCTGCTTCTCCAAAACTTATCCAATCCAGGTTGACTGTCATGCTTCCTTGAGGAGTCTCTTATATGTATGCCAGTTATTTGTGGCTTTTTGGAGTACTGGAATATAAGAGAGGCAGAAAGAACAAGTGTCTCTTAAAGTAATGTTGCCGTATGCCATTTGACAGAATGTCTGAGAACTGCAGTCCTTTATGCAATATGCCATAGGTATATGGTCAGAAGTTAAGATGCCTGACTTATGGTATAACTTACATCTCTAATTTTCCTCTGAAATTAAGAAATACCTTATTTGCCATCTTCATTCATGGAGATGCCACAGTCCTTTTAATAACTAATGTTCCTAATACCTATATGCTCTGTCTGGAAAATACAGTTAATAGTGCCGTTCCTACAGATGACATGCTCATGTTTCTGAAATAGTTTGTCCAAGCAGTAAATTTTACTAGACATAGAAATATCTAAAGTAGTCACTTTCTGGAGACTAAGAGAGGATTGACAACATGGTGGTAGATTTCAAGTGCAGCACTTGCAGTTTCGTGCCCGTGAGCCGTATAATTACAGCAGCTGTGGAACACGGATTTCATGTCAATGATTTGTTCTTGAGTGAGAAACTAAATTTTGAATGTACTTTAATGTATTTAGCATTTTCATATTGCTGTCATTACAGTCATCCATTATTATTCAACAAAGAAAGGATGCTTTTGTCAATATAAGAACTTTTTACTAGTAAAAGGACTGATAATAATTATGATTAGAAGTTGCGCACTGGAGTTACACGAGTGCTCACTACAACTTGAGAGCTGTTTATTTGATTGTAGGGCTCCTGATGAGAAATACAATAAAATGAACACCTTCTTCCAATAAATGCATTTCATCCCACTTGTTAGTCACATGAATAGCAGGGTTACTTCAAAAGCTGATCATGTGCAACACAATTTTTTCACTAGAAGGCAAAATAGAAATGTAAACCTTGTTAATAATAAAGGCAAAATAGTAAGCAATAAAAAAAGGAATATTATTTTGTATCCTTCATTAATGACAGTGATTGAAACCTCCACTTAATTTCAAACCATGTTCATGCCAATGCAAAACTATTATTAGGAAGCAGAAAGTAATGGTTTTCGTAGAATAAGCAGCCTCCATCCATTTCCCTGAGGAAAGGACCATCTTTCTTGTTGAGATTTGCCTTCTTGCAGCTTCTTAGGCTTTGGTATGTGTTTGATGTGTATCCAACCATTGCTTTTAAAGCTTTTTTTTTAATATTTATAGTAGAGCAAAAATAGTTATCCTTAGGTAAATAATTAAAGCTTTGTCATCAAATGCTGAATTTTCATGCAAGTGTTCTTTCACGTGAAGTAGACCAGATGTCATGAATGTTAACTGATTCTGACTTTAGCAGTGTGCATTTAACAGAGACAGGTAATTGTTTGAATTATTTTCTTTCTTGTAACTCAGATATAACTGAAAAAAAAAATCCACTTTTAATGTATTTAGTATTTTAATATTGCTGAGATTACAGTCTACTGCCTCTCATCACCTGAGTGTATTATTAAGCTTTCAGAAGTTGTTCCTAGTACCCACGTGTGGTAGTGAATACTGGTTTATAATCTTTGGGATAAGCTGTTTTCTTCCTTTTAATAAATGTGGGGTCCATTCATGTGTTCCTTATTTTCGTGGTATCAAAATGCTGGGAAAGATTCACGCTTAGGCAAAAAGTGATCTGGGTCAAAGACAAGTGAACAGCAGAAACGTCCAGGTATTTAGCATAAAAATGTGAGAAGAACATGGGTGGCTGGCCAATTATACTTTGGAAACAATTTCAACAAATAAAATGATTCTGAGTTAATCTACTTTAAGCACACTATGCACCCAGGAGTGCTGATAGTTTACAAATGTACACCTGGTTCTGAAATAGTTTGTGTTCTAAATATACTATTCCTGAGAATATAATTATATCCTGTGACCAAATTTGTAATTGCATATGTTTCAGATGTTTTGTTGTAGTTACATTTCAGCTTTTCTTAGCTTTCTGGGCTAGTCCCAAGTGAGTGCTCAAGAGATTCTTAGAAGAAAAAAGGATTGGGGATTCCTAAGCTGTCAAATACTGTGTTTTTATGAAGCAAAACATCTCAAGCTGAAAAAAGGAGATCAAAATGCAATATTACTATACTAGCCCATGGGAATTAAAGCAATAGCGTAACCTTCAGTGACTAGGGCCAGAGCCATATCCAGTGTTAACTTGGGGCAGGCGCAGTATTGGATTAGAGCCCTCTATTTTTGTTACTAATAAAGTAATTACTATTTTATGGCAGTTCCCAAGGCTTTTTTTTTTTTTCCTTATTGTCTCAGCTTACACTGCGTGATAATAAGAAGTTGGTCCCTGTCACAATAATCAAACAAGGTAAATTTGTATATTTTTTTAATTGATTCTTATGCTCTGCAAGACTAAATTAAAATTAAAATGAAAAAAAATTCTGACTGATGTGAATGTCATGAAAGTTTCCTTTTATAATAGGTGGAACCTTACAAACTACCATATCCTTTAATTACAAATACTATTAAACTGTTACCTATCTGTGTTAATAAAATGAGCGATTACATTGCATTATAAACAATGACTTAGTTGAGTCATTGAATGGATACCAATCAGTTCTGATTGCTGCTAGTATCCATTCTTTTTCTCTTTCAACTGGATTGTCCAGGTATGTTGATCTCCAGCTGTGCATAACTTGATAGTCAGGCATGAAGGGTAGCAGTATGGGTAAGATTCATGCTACCAAACTTTTTCATGGGTATCTTCAGCTAAGTAATTGATTTAGTCTCCCTTCTTCTCCTTTTCCTGGTCAGTGGAGAGAGATATCTACAGTAGACTTAACATATTGCCCTTTAGAAATGCCTGTAGTAGTGAGAGGCAGTATAGTAGTGTAATCTTTGAAAATTAAGTGCTTAAAGACAGCTGATAGAAAATGAGCTGCAGATTAAAACTTGCTAACAGAAATTGTATTGTGAATAATTTTAAGTAACAAAATCAAGCAAATTATCTTTGGAGGTAGTTCACAGTTCAGGGACAGGAAAACACTGGAGGGTGGTGTGAAAGCAAATTACAATAATTACCATTAAAACATGACTGCAGTGGCATTTACTTCACATGAATCTTTTTTTAAGACTTGTGAATGGCAAGGAGCTGGCCCTATATTAAGATAAGCATTGAATGTCATTTTTCACCAAGGATATGAAACTGATATGCTAGAGGAAAGAAGAGATGCACAGTTAAGAGATGATGTAGAGGAAACACAGTTTGCAGTCTCTTAAACTGAATGCAAATACAGAAAAGATTAGGATGGTGTCCTCATCTCCAAGTATTAAGTTGAGGGAAGGTTTTCAGAATGCTGAGGCTTGTATCAGGTGTGGTTTTGTTTCTTGTTTTGGTTTTTTTTTAAATGATTTTCTAATACCCCTGTGTTGTCTCCACAGTTATTCAAAATCGGACGCAGTCAAAAACTTCAGATAGTTCTTCTCTGCCAGGAGCAATATTAGGTGACTAGAAGATATTTTTATTATTTTTCCTCATCTTTGCCTGAAAATTAGAACTGTGTAAATACTTTTAATTTTCTTGTTCTTGATAGTCCTTTCCTTGCATATCAAAGGGTATTTTGCAGCTGGTTCAGACAGTAATTGTTATATTTTATGGTGGTACCGATGGTTCAAGGATGATGTAGCCTAAGGGAAATAGAATCATTTTATTGTCATAGTATTTAAAAGAAGATACTGTCACTGAAAGCCAAGAAGTTCTTTCATACTTCAAGTAAAGTTCTGTGGCAAAGATCTTCTTGAGATCAGGGGTTGTGCTTTTTGCTTTTTTAAGGTAGTATAACATGCCACCTACAGAGACAAACCTGTACTGATATATTAGGCTATGGTGATGTATATTATAACCTTCCTTGCAATTAGAGCTTGATGTTAGATCTCAGGGCATAACTGTTTCCCTCAAGCCATTCAGTTTCATGCTTTCTGTTCTTGTTTGACCTATAAGAATACACAATATTGGCTTTGAACATAAAAATAGGGAAAAGTCTATCACATAGTGCTTAGTGTGGTGAACTACTGGTCTGCCTGAAATAGATAGGAAAGGCTCACTGCATCATGGACCTTGTGATCAATTTATTCCTGGCTTCAGGAAGTCATTTAGTCCTTTTTATATATATATGGAAGTACTTTCTATAACTATATAACTTTGGCTTAAGTTTGCTTTGTGTGAGTTTTAATGTATTGATGTGAATCAAACAGATACTTACTAACCGCATTTGGTGTTGAGTCTTCTTGGCCCACCAGACAGAATGTCCCAGCATCTGTGATACTGCAGTACTCCAGGGTTGTATGCTCCAGTACTGAATTGTTTTAAATTCTGATTAATTGTGAAATGGTGGTAATACAGTGAGTGGTATAAAGGGGAAATAGCACCAAATGGCAGTGATAATTACTGAATAGAACTAACTCATTTCCCAGATACTCAGACTGAACTCCCAAGGATTCAGTAGTAGTTGCTCACGTATCTCAAAGGGCAGACTGTGTATTTTTCATCTGTTCTGGAATTAATGGCACACATCTTTCTGTGTAGTGCACCTTATTGTTCCAGGTCTCAATGAAACTCAGCAGAAACTTCCTCCTCTCCTGACAATAGATGACATACCTCAAGCATCCAGGAAAAAACTGGGTAAGCAGAAACAAACTAAGCTTGTGTTGTTCGTGAGCAGTTTCAGAAGCGTAGCAGTGTGAGATCATGTATGCAAGCAGAAAAGTCCTTTTTTTTCCTCTCTTACCTTCTTTTTTTCTATTTGTTTAGTTAATGATTAGCTTGGACTTACAAGGATTCATAGAAATTCACTTATTTTAAAACATCTGAACAGGTTTTTAAGGTATTTTGCAGCCATTTAAAAGAAAATACAGTGGCTTTGATCCATAGAGGAAAGAAGGGAAACCAGTCATGTTTATGGTCTTTAGGGGTTTTGTTTTGTTTTACAATGTAACTTATTTTTTTCATAGGTTATATCTTTCAATATAGGTCTTTAAAAATGGAAATTTGTGTGTCCATTTGAAAGACTAGATTTTCAGTGAATTTCAATTATATGAGTTCTGGCTTGAGTATATGTGAGAAATTGTTTCATGAAGAGATTCTTATTTATTATCTGTAACTAAATCCATGAAAAAATGGTAGCCAGAAATTGGAACATTTCAGTACAGGTTTCATGTGTATCATCTTGTGAATGTGCCTGAAACCTGCAGGAAAAAGATTAATTGAGGCTTAATTAGCATATCATCTGTGAATAGCATAATTGTGGGAAATACAACTATCTTTAAAAACCTTAATAATGCTCCCAGTGCATCTTTCACAGATCCCTTGAGTAGAGTTCTGCAGCTGATGACTTTTGGCCTGGCTAGTCTTAATACTTAATTTGAACTCTGAACATCTGGGTCAGACTTTTTTCCTTTCTTATTTCCGCTTTGTTTAGTTTACTCTGTCACTCCATTGCTGGCCATGGCACATTATCAGACTGGCTTGCTTTGCAGTGAGAAAACAGCAGTGCTTGTTCCTGTTAAGATACTATGTACGTGTAAGGGTAGAGCTACACAGTAGAATAATATTTGAATGTGTTTGAGTAAGAATATGTTTGAACTGAGGCTGAGTTCCTTAAAAATTAGTATCTGGAAGTATTTACCAGCATTTGACAGACAAATATTATTAGCATCATCTGTGGCTACTGAAAATTTAAGCTAAGTGGAAAAATTTAATTGCAGTATTTACATTACAGAGCATTACTGGTTTTCAATCATGATGATAAAATTAATCACATCGTTAACTTGATTACTAATACTGTCTTTGAACAGCAATCACAGAAAACAAGGTGTTTATCATTACTAGATTGTTTTAGCATGTGTATGATGTGCAGGTAACAAAGGTACTATTAAAACTCAGTAGACCATATTTTGACAAATCCGTTCTTCATAACCCTTCTAGTAAACCATATTTTAAGACCTCCAGTATTAGCTTTGGACTACAGTATCTAGAACTTTTATATTTGTTTTCATTTTCTACCAGCAAAATTATATCTTTCTGCAGGAAAACAATGTTGTGTTTTCAGATAGGTCAAGGTTCAGTAGTGTGCGCAGTAAAAATGGTAGAATGTGGCTATGAGCAAAAGATGGGGAAGAAGACAAAGGTAGCTTCAGTTGTCCTAGAGATGTCCAGCTTACTCAGCTGGCTGAGCATAGAACTTGGACTTTTAAATTTAAATGCTCTGATATGTTCAAAATAGATAGCTAGTGTGATGCCAGTTTGGAGCCACTCTTTATGGTAGATTACACAAACACCTTTGTGAAAATAACGAGCGCAGACAAGTGATGTTTTGTTCTGCTCTGTTTACTATGTGTTGCTTACCAGAGAACATGAAGTACATGTGTGTACACACAAGGGACTACTGGATTTCAAAGGAGTGTAAAACAGGGAAGAGTCATTGCTTGGAAAGCAAGAATACTCTGAGAAATAATTTAAATGTGTAAAATAATTGACAGAAAGACATATTGTCCAAATCTATATAGATATCCTTCACTGATGCCTGAGAATGACGTGTGTCTACAATAACATGCAATAAGGCTTATGCTGTGTGTGAAGTTATGACTAATTATGATTTGCTGACATACTGCAATTATTCTAATTCTCTATTATTTAGAAGAGTCAAAATAATGCCTCACAGAATATCATATTTATTGAATTCTCAAAATATTTTTTTTCTGTTTAACTAGTCAAAAACTTACTAGTTTTTTTTAAAAGAGTAGTAGTCCAGAAAAAAACCCACAAAACATAATGCCTTAGTCCTCAGGGGGAAAAAAAACAACAGGTGTATTATTCAAGTCAAAATTAATTAATTTTCCCTATATCCACTGCTGGAATATCTTTATAGCTGTTGGAATAGAAGGTTAGTGTCATACCACTGTAATTGTTAGAAATAATGTAAAGGAAAATAAGGACATGATTAGTGGGAGAATTCCATTGTATTTGAAAATTTATTAGACTATTCTTTTATAATGCTTAGAACTATATTACATCTTTGAATTTTGAAAAACGTTTTTGCTGTTACTGCTCAAATGCTAGACAAATGAAAAACACTGAAAACTCTTCTGCACTGTGAAAGTAATGATTTGTAAGGCATTAAATTCCTTGCTATAAATTTTATTTTTAAAGAATCTTTTAATGAACAAAACAATACCAAAAATGCATGTGTTTAACATAGCTAGATAGATGCTTGTACTGATTGTGCAGTGGAAGTTCATTGATTCCTAAAGGCATTCAGCTTCCCACATTTATTCATGTTGGTTTACTTTGGCAAACTGAAGTGGGACAGAAATAAATCTGTAGTAGAACAAAGCAGATACAGCTTTGCAATTACTCTCTAATGTCTTTGTCCCTTTAGCTAAGAATGAAACTCGAGTATGGCCTGCTGAATCCAAAACACCAGAAGTTCAAGAAATCTCTCCACAGTCCCTCCCAGGTAATGAAAATGAAAACGGGAGGATAATGTAGCTGAATTAGTAGTCATGAGTGGTAGATGTGGATAAAAATCTGAATCTAATTTTGGAGGAAAGTTTCAGATCCTACAATTTTTAGGTTTATAAAAACACTTAGAATTAGAACCGTATCTTTGTGGGGTGCTGGATACCTCACAGTTGTGAAAAATGGCAAAACAAGAGTTTTCTTGTGATGCACTCAAACTTCTGACTTTCATGAAATATATGAAGAAGAAAATTAGGGATAAGAGCATGATTGTGCAAAATGCATGCATGAGATTAAGATGGAACAGTCACAGTAACAAGCTCTATTTCAGAGATGCAGAGGATGACAGCATGATGTTCCATTTAAGTTCAGTTTTGAACACATTAATCTCGACCACACTCTCTCTGTGGACTTACTGGTCCCATTAAAGTAAATAGGAACTGTTCACATACATGGGAGAGGAATATAAAATTTGATCCTAGACTCATATTCTATTATGAGATGTTATGTGTCTGTGAAATGTATGTTAACTTGTATATTTGGAAGACTGAAGTTTTTTATCATCTACTTGTGGCTGAAAAAATATTGCTTATTTAAAAGGGCATACACAGGTGCTAATTTCTTAAACCGTTCACAAACATGAAGCGAACTTTTAAAACTCGCAAGATTTACTGCCTTCATTTGCTTAGGAAACAAGTTAGTGTAACATAAATAGACTGCTTTATCAAGTTGTATGACAAGTATAACCCTGTATTTTAGCATTTGCAATCTGAAGGCAAAATGATTGGACAGAACTAAATTGCTCAGAGTCAAATGATGAAGAGTGACTTTCCACCCACTTTATCAACCCACATTTTGGAATTGTTGAAGAAGACATATGCCTTTCTTCATTTTCTGTAGTCGGGCTTTTATTCTATAACTGAGACTGAAGTCTTGACTCTGCTGTCACTAGAAACAATAGTTGGCTTGTGCCAACTTCTTTGCTGAAAGGGGAGAAAGGAGGCTTGAATGGTGGCAAGACTTTAAAATGAAAAAAGAATTTGAGGAAAAAATACAGTGAAGGTTTGCTTTGGTTTAGTTTAGTCATATTTTGTGATCTTGCTGGCATTACTCTATTCCATCTATAAAGTATTTCCTGGCTGGCTGAAATAGTGTGGCACATTATTCCTTTGATATCACACGATTCACACAGATACTGCCCTTAAATATGACTGTGTTTATTTTATTCCTCAAGTATATCAAACATACCATACTTTACATCATCAGACCAACTCGGTCTTTAATTAAAAAAAAAAAACAAATAAAAAAAGAAAACCCTCCCAAAGAATATGTAGGGAATAAAAGAGATGTAGGATGAAGTAATGCAGCAAAATCATGTAATGATTGTCAACTGTCCTTTAGATTAAACAATCCATCATTTTTTTTCTCTGAAAATGTTTGCAGAATTTTATTTTCCACTCAATAGGTAAGTGTATTTGCCAAATTCTAGTTTTAACCATCAATTTCTTTCTGCAAAACCTTCATATGGATAGCTCTTTTCTGTTCATCCTAAATATTAAGAGGAAAACAAAGATGCTCCTGCATAGGAATTTATTATGAAAGGGGGCTCTGAACTTTACAAGTTTAGCATATGTGTAATAAACAGCTTGCTTTTAATTGGAAATGTGTGGATACTTTTTAAAAACCCGTAAAGAATTTTTTTTTTCCTTTTTTTTTTTTATTTTACAGTTTGAGGTCTCTTGTGGACGTAAATTCTGCAGTTATTTTACTAAATTATTTACGTTGTCTAAGTAACTGCAGAACAAGCAATCTACAAATATGTTCTATAGAACGTTGCCATTTTGTGAAAGGAAGAACTGAATGCATAAATTTATGTAATCATCTCTCCCACAAAATCCTAGTCCTCAGGCTTGCGTTCATCTAATCAAAATACATCATTCCTTGTGCTGGAATTTTCTGGTTAATCAGGTAAACAGTGTGAAATCTGACACCAGAATTGATACATCACCTTGGGAGGAGAGAATCAGTCCACTCTGTTTCCTTTCCTTTGTGTTCTGGAATTATGTTTATGTACCTGGCATGCAGTAGTTCTAACCATAAACATCGTCATCTCTAGACATAGCACAGAATTATATGCTTATGAAGTTGGATAGCGTGTTTCGTTATACATGATAATAATTGGCAAGTACTGTGTTTTTAGTGACAAATTATATATAACCATTTGTTACAGCTAAACATGTTCTTATTGCTATCACACCATTAGTTGTTTACTGAAATATTTAGAATCATTTTCATCCTCCACTTCATGCTTCCTCTGTGGTTTGGCTTCCATGTGTGGTGGAAGCACTCCTTTTCTGTGGCGATCGTTCCTTTCAGTCATTCTTTGTTGATCACAGCACCAGTGTCTCATGTTAAAGTATGAGTATGTCACACTATTTACACTAAAGAATGTATTCATTGTGGTTAAAGAGAAAAAAAGAGAGAATGGCAGGAAACAGGGAAATGAAAGTGAATCCTTTAAAAGAAAAAATAAGTTCTTCGAGTGTAGTTTCTGTCTAGCCATTGCATATGCAAAAATAACTCGAATACTTAAGCATTTGAGCCAGACTTTCACAAGTAACTTAAGCGAGAGATCTGAGCACCGGCCTTTTGCAAGGGTTGCATTTGAGAGACAGGGTAATATATAGGCATAATTAATTGAGTTTAGCAATAGGATCTACTTCATTATATTTCATTCGGACTTCCCTATTTGAAGATCATGCTGGATTCTTTGAGTAAGTCATAGTAATTATTTACTGTGAAATGTTTAAGGACTGGTGCCAGAAGTGGCACAAAACGCTGATTTAAAAGTTGTTGTGTGCTGTAGCAGCCGTTGTGTCATCAGTCATGCAAGAAAGGAAGAAAGGAGCTTGAAGTATTTCGGCAAGCGGACTATCTGAAAGGCTCCATGAGCTGGGCCACTCTTGTATTCCACTGAGTCTTTGTCAAAGGGTGTGTTTTGTGACGCGATGTGGTTCAGTAACTTTTTTGGTGTATTTGTCAGCCAGGCATCCCACCATTTTCTTAATTTCAGGCCTCCCCTCCCTTGGCATGCACTTCTGTGGAAAGACTGGTTAGTAAGCTCTTTCATGCTTTGTTTTTGCCAAGCTTGTTACAATATTTTCCACGTAGGACTAATTTATTCTTAACACAACAGCACAAATTCATAATGCCTTTTTTTTTCCCCTTCAATATTTAAAATGCTGTCTAATATACCTCAAACTACCACTACATTTTTTTCTCTCAGTTGAATCAAGTGAGAGCCTTTTTATTAACTTCACAGGGAAACTGGAGCTAACCAACAGTTAGAAATAGCACATTTGTCTAGGACATGGAAGAACTCGTTTAAAAAAAAAAAAGAGCAACTTATTTATGTAAGGGTTTGTACGAGAAATTTATCAAAGTAGATTTGTGAAATAGAGAATAGGCTTGAAATGAAAAGTACCACCTGTGAATCCAAACTAGGGTTAAAGTTTAGTAGGAATAACTCCTTTGTTGCCATGTTTCCCAAGTTCTGTTCCTCCTGTCCTCCTTCCAGCCCTTGAAGGTTTCCCCCTTGTGCTCACGTGGGATATGAGAAGGAGTGAGGTTATTGCTTCCATCAGAATATCTTAATTCCAGTTGTGGAGAAAGAGAGAAACATGAATGAGAGGGTCAAGAGAAGTTAAAGGAAAAATAGTTTAAGAAATGTTGCCTAAATGTATTCTTGCTGTATTCCATGCTGTGATAGTAAAGTAACTTACGTTGCTTGGTCGTGTTAACCATTTACTTTGCAGCTACCATTGAACCAGCACATTACGCCTAGTTTACCAGGTGCCCTGGAAAAGTCAGAGGCATTTCTCTCTTTTTCTCTAATTTAGCTTTTAAAACCTAAACTTTCTGCTTCCTGTATCTATTTTTACAAAAATGTCTCCTGTTGTTTCATGTCATCCCTACAATGTTCTGTGCAAAACAGAGAGCCTGGTTTCTTTTGTCCCAATTCTAGGCATGCTTTTTCTTGTCCAGTTTGCTCAGCTACCTTAGCTGACAAGAGACATGCTTCTTACGAGTGTAAACCATCTGACCTCTAAAAAAAAAACCCCAAAGCATAATGAGTTCTAAATTTGTGAATTTGCTTTTGGTGGGTTTGTTTGGTTTTTTTCATGATTACATTTCACCCATAAGAAACGTTAGCTTTTGAAGTACTTCTGAGGTACTTCTGAGGTATGTTTGTTGTTGTTTCTGGGTCTCTTATGGGTGAATTTTCTCCCACAAGCTTCACAGAGATAAATTGCTTTAACTTCTCTGTAGAACGAAATCCTCCTTCCACTAATGACAGTAACAGCACTGTAACTAACTTACTAAAAGCTGAATTGCGTCCTAATAAGGCAGCGTCTGTGGAGATTCCAGCTTTTGTGGCACTGAAAAGCACGATACTCCAAAACAGAAAATAGTATAATGGTTGTAACTGTAGTAGCATCTATGTAACTAGAATCTGGAAAACAGCATGTTTTCTTCAGGAAATGAAATAAGAAGCTTATAAACCTACATGATCAGTTCTTGCTTGAAGCATGCTCAGTAGATTGTGGAAAAAGCATGGAGAGCATGCTGGAAAAACAAAAGTAACTCTCTTCTATTGTATCTCAAAAAGAAAGTGATCTTTTATTAAACTGCATGAATACTAAAACTTAGTGCTATATTGATGCTGATCACCAATATTAAAGATCTCTAAATACCAACATGTGCTAAATACTGTGCAACTTGCTCTGTGGAAGGAATTAATGCTCTTATCACATTCAAGGCTGAGACCTTACCATCCTGTGTTCCATATCAATAAGCTTTGTCATCTTACAATCTGAGATTACCAGTTGTGTGTACTGTATGACTGATTAAACGCTATGGGACCTCCAGCAAGATGGAGAGGAAAGAAGTGATCTTGACTTACATACCATAGGAATTAAATGTTATGTGAAACAGCTGGAAGAGTATAATTGTGCACTAGTTTATTAAAATATGGCCAGCAATTCAGTTTAGGTACATTTAATGGCTGTTTAATAAACTGCCCATGCTTTACTCTGAAGATGTAGAATTAGAAGAATGAATGAAAGTCAAAATCCTATTATATTATTACTGGAAAGATGAAAGAGCTAAGGCATTATAGGTGAATCTTTATTCTTTTCCTGATAATTTTTATATTAGAAGGATTAAAAAAAATCCAGAATAGCAGGGAAAATATTTGTAAATACACTTTGTGATATAATGGATCTTGTTTATAATGTATATCATAATGAATTTGGGAGGCTATAACAGAAGTACAGTGTGAGCTTCTGATCTTAGCTTTGCTCTTTGTGACTTATATTTTCCTTTGCTTATGTAAAACTGCAAGAAAATAAATCCAAAACATCATATAGACTTCACATCTGAAAACAAAAATAAATATTAATCATGATGGCGTCGAGCTGCTGCAGAAATTATTCTGATCAGGTGGTATAAAATGATGGTAAGAAAAGCAGTGGGCTTTGGGCAGTAGATAAAGAAAAGCTCACAGGGATTCTAAATTAAATAAAGCTTCTTTCTTCTAGCTCAGCCTGAGAAAAAACATGGACCTAAGGAATTTAAATCAACGCCTAAACCCGAACTGGTGCAAACTCAAAACATACTGGGTAACTAATTTTGCTGCTTTTTACCTTCTTTGTACATTAAATGTTTTTTTCATCTCCAGCAGAATTTTTCTACTACTTGCTGCATCCCCTTTGTATTGACTCCAAAAGAAGTCCTAATTAAAAATTTCTTTGTGTTTCCAGCAACTCACACATGAAATGTAAAGCAGGATGCATCTAGCTCTGGCTGAACTGTGGCTGTTATACATATGATTATGGCTAGCAGATTTGACTGGGTGATGCAATTTTATTTTTCAAAGTAATGCTTTCTGTCTATGTGATCTGCATGATTGACATCACATAACATTTCCATCAGTAAAATTAACCTCAGTGATAGAATTGAAATAATTGCCTCCTTGATTTTCTTCTGATGACAGATTCATTTAGGTAGCATCAACAGTGATGCAAAAGGAAAATTTCATATTGCATGTGACATGATATAATTGTATTTGTCCTGGAGGAAAAAAGAGCTCTACTGATTTTTTCATAGAGATGTCAGAATGAGAGATTTCTGATCTAAGTAGTAGTATTGATTGTTTTGTGATTTGGAGCAGCACCTACTTACTTCTTGCATTCAGAATTCTAAATTCTCCAATGTTGATTTTGTTGCCTGTATTTTAATCCCCAAACCATGCAAAATTATGAATACAAATTTAAACTTGAGGGTGGGTTGGTTTGTTTGTTTTTTTAAACTTTGATTAGATTTTTCTGAAGCACAGATGGCATACATGATGATGTATGATAAAGGAAAAGATCATCAGCATTTGCAGGACTGAAATACAGATCTTCCCATGAAGAGGACTGCTAATGCTTCTCAAGAAACATATTTTTACATAATCCTATTGATTCATGTTAATGTCATACTCTCTCTTTTATCTTTTTTAATTTACAGTTGCAAGCAGATTTCCAGAGTTTATTGAAGCTAAACCATCAGTCAATCTAATTTTCATTCTAACTTTTAATCAGTTTTTTTTTAAGCTTAATCAACCTTGCTTGGTTTTTGCATGCTTTTGAAGATTGAAATATGAAATTTAATCAAGATGGGTCACTGCTTAATTTCAAACTAGGTGGTCATAGTTACTGATGGATGTTCATTATCGAATTCCTGTGATTGATGGATCTTTATATTATGACTAGGGAAAAGGTGATTACATTCATGTTCCACATACCTTTTTAAGTGACAAAGTTATGTGGTTTTTTTTTCTAGGTTGGAACTACTTTTTTTCTTTTTTATTAAATATCATTGGTTTCAGGAGTGAGTGATTTATAAGCCAAAATATAGTTCCATACTGTGTCTTGTAATATTCTTAATCAAGTAAAGCCTTGACTATTTCTTTTATCATAGCTTCTAATGAAATACAGCCACTTCCTTCTGGATCCAGAATCTCTGGTGCTCCAAAAAGTCCATTGACAGAACTTGGTAATTACTTTCTTTGTAAATTTGAGTAAACTCCAGTGGAAAAATATTTAATTCTTTTGTTGTTTCTGTGGCTGGTAGGTTTTAATACTTCAGCTGCAATAATACCATTCTGTATGTAAAATATGGCAGACATTAGATTTTTCTTCACAAAATTTGCAAATTTCTTCTTTATTTCTAAGACTGGTTTTGCTTTATTGTCGTGACAGGATGCTCCAGATTAATGCTTCATTTTAAAAAACAAACAAAAACTCGTGAGGATATATGGGCTAACTTTTATCCATAGAATGATGATGGCAATTTATACTTAGCTAAAATCTGTACTCTTAGTTTTGTAATTTTCTTGGAAGTACCCCATAAGCTTCTGACACTGACTGTATTTCAGAGTTGGAGTACTGTTCCAGCCAGCATCAGTTCTGTAGGTTTTCATGTAGTTTGCCAAATACTTGTATATTTGGTTAAAATAGTGCCATAATTTGTAGATGTTGTTGTGGTTTAAATATTCCTAAGTGTTTGCTTACTTCTGGATTCATTAGTTGTTTGGTGATGAACTTCAGGACACTTTAAAAGGCCTGATATTTGAGAAAGTATGGCACTGCTCACATTTTCAAAATAGTTTTACCTGTGGTAGGGTCAAAACGTTATGGTCAAAATCTTCTTATGGGCAAAGAGGAAACACACCTTTTCTTTCTTTTTTAAAAAGTTATATTTTTATATATATACACACATATTTACAGGTATGTATATATATGTATAGACATGTATAGACATATGTATTTACATATATATATATAAAGCCAAGAATTTGTTGTTAGTGTAATGGAAATCTTAACAGTGTATGTAATTCAAGAATCATCATTAGTCTAGATTTAACTCTTACAGTAAAACAAAGAATATTAATACAGGTAGAGTACTTACGTATAGAAAAAGCCTCAATAATAGCAGTAACATAATTAAAATAGTAACGCACAAACTTCTTAGTTTCTACCCTTTTTCCTGGTGTTTTGCTCACCCTTCCACTACACCTCTGGGTCCTAAGCTTGGTGATTTCATGCTTGTGTTGGTCATGAGTGGGGATGTTTCAGCAAGTTATGAGCATCTGGAGTCCTGTGCTGGGAGGAATATGATGTTCATGTTGATGATTTCTTCCTCCTCTCTTCTTTCTTTCTCTCTTCCACTGAGAGACACCTTACATCTGAATTTACCATATATGGTGCCATTTGTGTATGTTAGATACTATGTCTGTGTTCTTTTTGTTATCCCTAAAGTAAACTTTTTCCAGCTCCAGGTGTGCAGTTTTCATAACTGATCATCACTGAGCTGTTTATGGCATGGGGTCTCCAGTGCCAAGCCTGGTCCCAATCTCTTATCATCCCATGCCTGCACTCCTCTATGCCATATTCTGTGTCTCCCCTTCTCAAGACCTCTGCTTTCATAACAGGCCTGTATTTCTCTACACTGTATCATTGTGTTAGTCATAAATATCTCATTCTACCAAAACTACTTGTTGCTGCTATCTATATAAACAATTATTACACTAGTTAACTGGAGTGACCTTGAATCACTATGGATTTATATTTCACTAAGCATTAGTCAAGAAGTTATCATATAATAGTGCTGGTTTATTCCGATGGCATACTTTTACTTAATGCGGTCTGCCAAATTTTAAAATCATTTCCAGGAACAGCTCTTACTTCTTGAAATGCATATTTGAACCAAATTCTCAGGAACATGAAAATGGTCTTCACATTTTGTTCTTAATTTGCTACAACTTTTGACAGCTTTTTTCCAGATATGTTTGAGGGGATGGGGATACATATTTGTTTTCACTGTAGTGAAAGAAGTTTGGTTAAATACAGTTAGAGGCAGCATTGGAGAGAGGGACGTTTGGTGATTTAGGAACCTATTTGTTATATATGTAGCTGAAAACCTGAAAATTATTAAGGATGGGAAGTATTTTTCCTTTCTGCTGGGGAATAAAAACCTATGTTTGTCTCAGTGGTAAAGGTAAAATAATAACAAAAGTTGAGGAAAAATACATGTTTCATTCAAGTATTTATTCTGGTTTCATTCTCATGTCTTCCATTCCTGCCTAATAGTTCCACTTAGCAAAAGTAGGATTTAGTTATGTGAGGCTGGGCCCAGCCATCGGGTCAGCTGGAGCGTCTGTGCTCCCCATGAAGTCAATGCTGAAGTCAAAGATATTCTGTGAGAGCGAGGGGCATGAGGGGTACAGAGGAGATTTCTCTGCACTGTGCCTCTGCATGCTTTGATCACCTGCTGCCATAAAATCAGCAAAGAAAGCAAAATTTAGTTTCTGAGGTTTAAGAGCGTGTGATCTGTATTCTGCCCTAGTTCCCCTGAAGACTTTTTTTCTTTATTTTTCTGTCTTGATTGTACTGGAGGGAGACAGCTCCTTTGTTTTATAAACTTTCTGTGTGGTCAGTATATTTTGAATTCAAACCTTTCTGAAAAGATAGCTTTGTTAACATGCCTTCAATGTTCTGATGCCTTTGGGAGATCTCTCGTAGTTCTTACTGTATGTTAATGGAATAATGGAAGCTTTTGCCAAAAGCTGTGAATCATGCTGCTTTTGTTGGTATTATTTTATTCTCTATAAATTTTATAAACTTTCTGTGTGGTCAGTATATTTTGAATTCAAACCTTTCTGAAAAGATAGCTTTGTTAACATGCCTTCAATGTTCTGATGCCTTTGGGAGATCTCTCGTAGTTCTTACTGTATGTTAATGGAATAATGGAAGCTTTTGCCAAAAGCTGTGAATCATGCTGCTTTTGTTGGTATTATTTTATTCTCTATAAATATAGAATAGAATAGAATAGTTCCAGGGAAGGGACCTACAACGATCATCTGGTCCAACTGCTGAGTGCAAATATATCAGGATAGTAACCTCATATTTGCAAAAGATAGCTTTGTTAACATGCCTTCAATGTTCTGATGCCTTTGGGAGATCTCTCGTAGTTCTTACTGTATGTTAATGGAATAATGGAAGCTTTTGCCAAAAGCTGTGAATCATGCTGCTTTTGTTGGTATTATTTTATTCTCTATAAATATAGAATAGAATAGAATAGTTCCAGTTGGAAGGGACCTACAACGATCATCTGGTCCAACTGCTGAGTGCAAATATATCAGGATAGTAACCCGGGATCATATTTGCTAATGTGATAAGCTGGATTGAAAGTAAATGGGAAAGCAGATCCAATATATGAAATAAAAGTCTGTTCACTTTTTGGCTTATATTCATATTGCCTACATTAAAAATGAACCCTACACCTAGTTGAATGTTTTTCTCAATCTCAAGCAGAGAAGTTTAATTTTAAAATTCTGGTATAACTGCTTTTCGAAAAACCTCATCTTGATAAAGACCAATTAAAAGTACAGAAGGAAATTTTCTCTTTCAAATATATTATAACCTAAATGGGCATAAGTGACTGGTGCAGATAAGTTTACTGGAAAGAATGGTACTTATTGGCCTGTACACACAATTGGATAGGATCTGTTTCTTAGAAGCAGGACAGTAGTGCAAAACAGACACATGGTAGAAAATCATTCATGATGGCCTTTAGGTAAGAATGCCCAATTCCACCTTGATTCCCTGTTTTCATTAAAGCAGACTTGAGGTTATCCATACTTCAAAGTGAAATAACCATAAGATCTTTGTAATAGTCTTCATTACAGCATAACAGATAAAAGGTGCTGTTTACAAACTTTCATGATTATTTCATTGACTTCATTGTGCTACTTTTTGTCTTTTCCCATTACACCTCCTTTTAAAATAGTTACACATAATGTAATAGTAACCAGTTTATGCAGACCTGAGAGTGCTGTGAAGATCAAATGTATTGTGTTTGGGTTGTAGCTGCTTTGCTGTGAAGAAAAACCTAAGTAATATGGATTCAGCCTGATTAGATAATGTATGCCAAAGTTTGAATGGGGTAAAATTTAATAGGAAAAAAAGGTCCTTCAAACCAAACAAAAACTTGCTAGTTACAGTTAAAATTAGATTTTGTACCACTTGCAAGGAGAGTGTCTGTCTCAGTGTCATAAAACTTTTTTCATGTTTGCTTTTAGCTACTCAGAGTCCAGCCTTGAAATCTGTATCTCTACCTTCTGCAGAAACCAGAGAGATGGAGATGGGTAATCAGCAGATTATTTCCATGATTTTTTTCCATTATCTTAGCATCATGTAGATCTGCAAATGGTAATTTTAAGATTTGCTTTAGAATTTTGGCTACCAACACTCACAGAGCTGCTTATTCACCATTCTTGTGGCTGTGTAACCAGCTGAAAAATGTATTTGTTACTGGCTTAAAAACTGCTTAAAGACAGTGTTGTCGTATCTCATCGTTAGATTATTTCTTTTTGTATAGCTACAGCTCTTATCCCAGAAAATGTGATAAGATAAAATTCCTTGCTGATAAGAATTTTTGGGCATGTGGAACTCAAATTTCAAGGCCAGAAGACTGTATTGCAAGCCATCATCTCCTATTGTCATGACACAGTTATCTCACCTCTCACTTTCAGGCCGTCTGCCATCTTGCTTAGCTTTGCATTAGCATCATCTGGGATTGCACAGCCTTCACTAAGCTATTTGATGCTAATCCATTAAGTCACAGGTCTCAGCATTTTAAGCTCAGATTCTTTTTTCAGCTTTTGAGGAAACACAGCCTGTTTCTTCAGGATCCAAAACATCTGGTACCACAGAATTGCAACCAACCAGATCTGGTAATGATTTCTCATAAGATTAATCCTCTTGACAGTTAGGAATTTTCAGAGGAGACATAGTGCCTCTCATTCAATAGTTTGTTCAGTTTGACATAAATGAAGAATAACTGCAGGTATGAAAGTGCTGTATCAAATGGCAGGTTACTTTATGACTTTTTATATGAAATATTGAGCTAGTAGTTTGGAGATTTTTTCATATTTGGCTACAACATGTCATTCTTAGCTTTAAAATTAAATTGGACTTACAGTAAATACTAAATTTAAATAGGCCTGTCCACGCCTGAGTTTTGTAAGCGGAATATCCTGATTTGCTGAAGTACTCAGAGTCCTAATAAATGAATGGAAACTGCAGAAATTCCAACACCTTTTGAAAATGTAGCTCTTCTTTTAGCCTTTCTGTATAAACATAGACATACTTCTAAAGTATGGCCAGATTTCAAAACTGGCCCTATAAAAACATGTCATTGAAGATTCAGACACTGGCTATTTGGTCCTTAGAAAATTTCTATGATGTGTTTCTCTTATTTTATAGATGAGTTTGTAAGAGCTAGTTATTTACTAGGGGCCACTGACAGTTATCCAAAAGAAGAAAAAAAAAAGTAGTAAAATGAGAGCCGGTTGGAAAGATTTCACTTCATTAGCATGCTAATAGTGTAATGCCTGATGCATATATTTTTGGAAGAAATTAATTTTTGAAGGAAGTTCATTACTAAAGGGGAGATTGATTGCAACTGTCAGCCATTCACGTCTGACAAAAGACAGTTTATATCTTTCATTTGGTACAGTTTCTGCTTTGTCATCCTTTTTACTTCTCCAGTTTCAGCACCAGGATATCCTCCTTCTTGATCCTTGGAATTCTAGACAAAAATTCCATGCAGTCCCAGTTTGCTAATTTTTATTCATAGTTTGTTCTCCTTTTTTGAGCGGCCTTGTATTTCTCCTTTTTAACTCTATAGTTCAACTTCTTCTTGTACAATTCTGCTAACAATTTGGTCATTAATTGCATTATGTGTCTGTGCATTAATGCATGTTTTTGGAAATTGTTTTCAATTCGTACTTAATTGGTTATTGTACATCTCAGAGTCTGCCTTTCTGCAGAATATAATGTGTTAAATACTACCTAGAAGTTTCTTCAGCTCATAATATGATGCTGTTGCATGATGGTTCTTGTCACTTCAAAACAATACAGCATGATTTTTGTTTTTACTTTCCAGCTTCACATGACTTCCTTCATGTTACTTCTACTCCCTAAACTTTTACAGCTTCAGAAATACCAGACACTGGTAGATTATAGTAATATTATTTCAGAAGCGTACCCTTATGTTAGGCTGGTTGGTGCTGGAAAGTTTACTACTGCTTCCATGTTGATGGTTTCAGACAGTTATTCCATAGTGCTTGCATTGGGTGTTGCCCTATGTATTAGTTTTTCAAATCCTATAACAAGCATCCTAATTCCTGGGATCAGGCACAGCACAGGTTTAAAGCAAGACTGCAACTAGCTTACAGAGCCTGAATAATGCAATATCGATCAAATGGGTGTGTCAAGAAAAGATTTAAATTTTGCAAGGCTTAAGACTGTTACAGTCAAGTAAGATATGATACTTTTTAGTGATAAGATTGTTTTCTTCCTTTCTGTCTGTTTTTCAATGTCCACATACATTTTGCTGTGATTTTTCCTATGTATTGTCTTAAAATAAGAAAGTAAACACATCTCAAGCCAGACCTTTCTAACTAAGCTATACTTTGAGTTACAGCTTTGGAGATAGGTTGTTGTTTTTCCTGTAGCCTTTGATATGTGAGGATGCTTAAGCTTTTTAAGCATTGCTTGATCATGAACAAGTGTGTACATAAGAGGTGAGGGCAATGGGGAAGGGGTAGGAGGAGGTGGAGGGGAAAGGAAAGCAGTTCATTGCCCAAGACTTACTCTGAGCAATGCAGCTGTAGTTTATTAAGTTCTGTGCTGTATAACCTACTGGTTCTTGGCATCCCAGTACAGTTTTCAAGAGTTCGGTTTTGCTGCCCTGTTCTATAAAGCATCCTACTCCCAGGCCATGATTTTAAATCAAATTAGTTCATTCTGTTATATGGGATACCTGGCCCCAAATCTGACTGAAAAAAAATGGCCGAAATTGAGAAACTGCACAGAGCTAAGTGACTTAATGAAGTTGTACTGAGAGACCTTAATCTCCTGAAATCACAATTTTTCCTAAATTTTCTGAATTTTAACTTCATGGAAAGATGTGCTATATGTTGTAGAGCTGTTTTTTCAGGTGCTATTTAAGGCAAATGCATGTAAAAATATATATAGATTGTTTTTCAAACTCTTTGTGAACATTTGCACACATGGGAAAAATCTTCAGCTAAGTAGTTAGTGAGGGTATTTAAAATACTTAGGAAAAAAAAGGTTCATTTTGTAAATAAATTAATAATAAAAAATAATACTCTGCAGAGCAGTGGAAGGTAAAATTGCTCTCCCACAAATCTTCCTTCTTAATTTATTTACGTTAAGTTATTTCTCAGGTGTATTTACATTTTTTTTTTCTGCAGCTAGAGATACTACTGAGTCGGAAATATCCATGCCCATAATTACTACAGAACCTCAGTTGTTAGGAACGGCACTGGGTGAAATTGATAAGATGACTTTAGTTGTAAAGGTTGTCTTCTCATTTTTATCCTTGCTGCTATTTTTCAAAGCTTTGCATTGCTTTAGTTGTCACCATCCCAGTAATTCATACCACTTATTGCTGCCATTAACTAGATTCTCATCTGCACTCATCATTCATCTTTGTAGATGGAGGATCGGGACCATAGAGGTGGGTTCCCTTTAATTGGTTGGGTTTGGTTTGGTTTTCTCATTATTGAGGTTCCAAGCTGTGGACCTGCCTTTCTCAGCTTTGGTTTGTTTTTTTTTTTTTCCTGTGCTGAGAGAACTTAACTGTGAGAGGGAATTAAGTGCTTAACATATATTTCTGTGTAATGTTTCTGTGAAAAGGTTGTTTTGACTAGCTTTATATTGGCTGGCCCACTGACTGTTTTCTGGATCAAAGGTGTTTTCTTACTACCTGCAATTCTTAATGTGCTAAGATTATTAAGTAGTAATAAGAATTCCCATTGGTATGAATAATTAGGTCACGTGGTTTCTACATTGACTTCCACACCAGCCTAACAGTTTGTGAGACACAGTAATGCCTAGCTGATTTGCAAGCAAATTTCCCTGTGCTTCCATTTTAACAATGCAACATTTGTCTGCTGAGTCCTGTGCTATCCATAGTAGCTCTGAGGCAACTAAGCCTTTTAACACAAGACTATCTTTTCGGACTTAGGTGAAAGGAAGCCTCTTTCTTCAAGATCCACAACATCTGGCATGCCAGAAATGCCACCAATCTCAGCTGGTAATGATATCTCTCTTCATTGTAGTTCTCCTGACATCTAGGCAGTCTCTCAAAAGACACAGCAATGCTTTGCTAAATGGAGGGTTTATTCCGACTTGCTCTGTATAAATGTGTAACTGGAGAGAGAGAGACCAGGTGTATCTGCTGCAACATTTGAGAAATTTAAAATGAAATGTTGGAATGATAAGATTAATTTTTCTTATGTTTGTAAATGATTAGCTAGATTGTCCTGTGGGGTTGTGTTCCATTTTTTTGTGAAGGATTGTATATATATATGGAGGCCTGTTATTTGGAATGGTTAAATAAGTGCTAACATGTCAAATTTGGTCACTTTGTACATTGGATGCAAAAGCTTCTCCATAGGTGGAAAAAGCTTTAGCTGCTGTTCTTAAGAATACCCCATGAGTTTTTAACCATGGGAAAATGCCAGTTACTGATTTGGTTAGTGAGTCATTGAATGTTGCTAGAAAAGGTTCACGTAGAAGGGACCTGAACAGAAGGGTTTCAATTTCCAAAGGTTGGGAAACTCAAAAAATCCCACAGAAATCACTAGGCACCATTTCCTTATTACCACCAACTTCTTCATCTTTGTGCGTGTTTGAAAACTGTCACCAACAGTCTTGTCTCCCTTAGATCTGGAGTCAAGCCCACGGTGTAGCAAAGATGCACAGTGCAAATGAGTACACGTAGACTAGATTTTACACTGGTTTATGTATTAGGTTGTGCATTTTCTCTGTGCAAAATTAGGATAAGAGAGTATGAGGAAGTCACTTTAGTGAAGTTACTTGTTCTTCAGTGTACAATGGGATGATGGACTGTACAAGTGTAAGTGGTTGAATGGCCTCAAGTTGCGCCAGGGGAGGTTTAGATTGGATGTGAGGAAAAATTTCTTTACTGAAAGAGTGGTTAAACATTGGAACAGGCTGCCCAGGGAAGCGGTTGAGTCCCCATCCCTGGAGGTATTTAAAAGACGAGTAGATGAGGCGCTTAGGGACATGGTTTAGTGGGCATGGTGGTGTTGGGTCGATGGTTGGACTCGATGATATTAGAGGTCTTTTCCAACCTCAATGATTCTATGATTCTATGATTCTAAGATGTGCTAGAATTCTGCAGAAAAATTGCCTTTGGTCACTTGTTTGCAAGCATTTCCGTACAGAGTCACTGTGGTTTATTAGTGCCAGGGACTGAGATTTCTGACCCATAGAATGAAGGACTTGGTTGATTCTAGGGAAAAGTGAGATCAGATCTTGAATTCTGAATCCAAAGGTGGGTCTCTTGGCTCCCATGTTCAGTCCACAACAACTGTTTTTTAGGTATCTTTCAAGGAAATGTAGGGAGTGCTTTGGTGAAGTAGTCCTTTAGCCGTTTTTCTACTGATGGAGAGCCATTTAGGTACTGAGTTTCTAAGAGCATTGTGTTAGTTTCAACCACGGCAAGACGGTTGCCTGCTGATTTGATCAGTCACAAGATACTGCCAGGAAAAGGCATGTGTTGCCCTAAATACAGACCTCTGGGGTGTTGTGAGCCGGTGCTGCTTGTACTGCCGTGGCAAGACTGTGTGGATATCTCAAGACCATTTCCATGTCTGACCGTAGCAACGCAGAGTCCGGACCTGGAATCCACCTCGTCTGCTTCACTGGAAACCACAAGGACTGTGATAGGTAAATAGCCAGTGATTCCCTTCCTATGTTGATTACTTTGGCAATGCTTTTCTCTGCAGCGATGAGCCTGTTCAGATGCTTTGATGTCCTGAAAAGTGGGTCCATGATGCGGTTGGCCCCTTATGGCTCCTTATTAGAAATTGCTCCATTTGTAAGCTTTCTGCTGCCCTTTTTGGGGTTCCACTTCTAGGTTTACTCTGTTACCTTGGGCTACCTATGCCAGTTGAAAGCTAGCAACATGCTACTACGGGGAGTGATGCTGTGACATGGAAGCCTGCCCCGAGCAGGGCCACATCTCCGTGTTTATAGCTCTGTCTTGATACCACCCGTGCGGCAACAGCCTGTCTGAGGACCTGAAGGTGGTTTTTGTGTTTGATCTTAGCTACTCGAAGACCAAGGCTGAAGCCCACCGCTCCTTCCTCCCTGGCAACCCAGCAAACCGTGATGGGTAACTGGCAAAACCCCTTCTTTTTCCATTTTCCCCTTTCTCTCTCGCTCCCCATCACGCCGCCCACCCCAAACCACCTGGCATCCTTGTCATCTTCCATGGAGAGTATGAAGACTTGTTGGTGCAGCTTGGCTTGCCGAAGCACTCGCCAACTTGTTCTGCGATTCTGTTGTTTGATCCCATGCTTTTTCCATTGCCGACGAGTGTTTTCTGCGGGGACTGAGTGACAGCTTGTGTAGAGAACGCATTATCACACCTTGCCTTCAGCTGCCATTCCCCTGCTTCTTTGCGTTTTGGTAGCGGGTCTTCCTTTCTCTGACACATTCAAATACGACAGCGTTCTTAGGAAGCAAATCCCGGCTGGGCTGGCACAAGAGGACAGCACTGCAGTTCAGCTGCCCACCAGGGTGTCCTGGGCCAAGGGTGCAGCTATTGGTTGCTTCACCGCTGACTTTCAAGGCAGCTGGTTGTCATCTGCCCACACCTTTACGTTGCCATCACCTGGAAGTGGGACTGCTCTGCTCTACTACTGCTTTTGAGGTCATGTTAGAGTTTTAAGAACGATGCCTCTTTTCAGCTTTCAGTGAATCACAGCGTGTTTCTTCAAGGTTCAAAACACCGGCAGCCTTTGGCGCCTGGCCATGCTGGTGACCTAATCTGGTAACGATATTTCTTGCAGATCTGGTAACGATGCAGGACGGGAATCGTCCCAAGAGATACTGTTGTGCTTTTAGCTGAACTGTTATTTCTCTTGGGCCTACGCTGGGGTGAAGCGTAAGTGTAGAAATGAAATGGCTGTACACGAAAAGCCATATTTACTTAAGGCATTGGATATGGCACTTGGTGACAACGGGTGGAGATGCTCATAGAGATAGCTTCTTTCACATTGGCAGGTATACAAGACCAGTCGTGTGGCCTGGCAGTATTTTTTGGCCCATGAGCTAACAAAGCAATACATGAGCAGGCTGGTAAGCCTACAGACATGAAATCGAGTGCAAGTTAAAAGTGTAATGAACCACATTGTCTTGCAATGTTGTTGTGGCACTTTTGTCTGTAGCAGTCTTGCTTTCATATCAGCTGAGATATGTCATGCACTTCAGGGTCTTTTCCAGGGAACTTACATTTCTTGCCTTGCATTACTAAAGGACTTTTCTTCACTTTCTTTTTTTTACAGTGGAGAAATCAGATACTTGTAATTATAACAAAATATATAAATTTGGCTGGCCTAAGGATATTTCTTTCTCTTCCCATGTCTGGTGATGTTGTCTGGATCACTTTTTATGTTCTTTTTTTTTTAATTGGATTTGTTTCAGTATCATCATCTTGTAAATTTGCTTTCTCTTTGCCTCCCTTTGCCCAGTGTTCTTGAGCTTTTTCAGTCTTACATTCCTACTAACCTCATGGGAATTTTTTTCCATTCTACTTGTGACGTTCCATTTCAATTTTTGCATCAAATTTATCTGTTTTTATACATCTTTGCGTATTAACCTCTTTCTTTTTAAAATTTTGCTCATTTTGCAGAATATATTTCTATGTTTCTTCAGTTCCTTATTATTCGGACACTAAACCATCGAGTCCATGGTTGCAGTGATGCCGTGGTGTGATGGTTCATGTATCTTTTAAATAATAAGTCACAATGTTTTTTTCCAGACTCACATGACTTTCTTCATGTTACTTCCACTCCCCAAACATCTACATCTGCAATATTGTCAGAGCAAGAGACTGGTAAATGACATTTTTATTTCCTCCAATCCTTGATCTTTCTTGATATTTAAGTAGTACTATTCCAATGTTTGTTATTTGTCCTGGCTTTTTAATGTTGCCTGCAATGGTCTTTCATTTGTTCATTAAGGCTTCATGCTATTTGTAATAATTGCCAGTGTCCAGCAGTTCTAGCCTCTAGAACTCTCTAGCAGTACTGCTAGCCTCTAACAGTAAGTGATCCTGATATGATCTGGCTATTTCAGGGTAGTATCATATTACTGAAGGGTTGGGGGGGGGGGGGGGCAGGCAGAGAGTGGGGCTGAATTTGGCAGATGAGAGGAAATTGTTGAGCTTTGATGAATTTTGGGTTGTCAGTATAACAATTATCCTTTGGGGAGGAAATGTTTTGTCTTTAGCTAGTAGGCACTTTTTAAAGAGATTTGTTGGTTGAACATTTGTTTCCTGTTATAACTTTTTAAAGTAGTCTCTAATATTCAAAAGACTGCTGCAGTACAGCATTTTAGTATTTAAAAATATTTTTACAGTTATTTTGCTAATAATTTATTATTTCTTCCTGTGTATTTACAGAGAACATAGTTTTTTAGGCAGAATATGTGCATTTGTATTTAAGCATGAGATTTTTCCCAGAATGTGGTCATAAAAAAATAGAGGGTTGCTGTGAGGTTCTCATCTGTGTTGCTGTTCATGCTAGGATGATTTACGCAAGTGATATTTTATTACATCATTATACCAAACATCATTCTCTTTCTGGGGACCAACTTTAATATCAGTTGTCTTGATTCTGCAGTATACTATGCTGAGACAACAAAGCAAGCATGTACAAAGCTGGCTTCTGAGTGAAAAATTACTTGAAGCTACTTCTTCATCTCCTCTTGATATGTTTGCAAGTGGTGTTCAGTATTGTAAGGGCAATGAGCATTAACCTTTTTGAATGCACTTACATAAGTGCTATACAATGCTTGTGTGTCAAAGATGCATGTCTTATGACCTGATTGAAATACCTTTATTTATAGAATTGTTGAACACGCATAGATTACATGGAAACATAGGATTGTGGATGCTCCACATCTGCTAAACGTACAGACACAATATTAGGAGTCTTAGGAAGGATTTGGTCCTTAATTTTAAGTGCACAGGTTCAAAAGCGCTGGGTGGTATAAACTGTAAAATACTTTGAGAATATTAAGGCTGTGTTTCTCTGGTCAGGATGTTTAAGTAGAATATAAATCTCAAATAATGTAAAATTAATTCAGGCCTGGGTTTTCCACTCATTTGCACTTTTGTACTCTTATTTTGTTGGTGTAGAATTAGTAGAACAGGTGGCTGAATTGCTCTGAAATCAGTTTGGTTGGTTATCCATTGTGTGCAGGGATGAGTAGCTGCCCAAGGTACAAGGCAGTGGTGTATCAGACCTTGAAGCCTTCAATGTAAAACAGCTGTATATTTTTTTTTGTCCTTTCAAGTTATACATTCCAGCTCGGCGCTAATGATTTTTCATTTTAATAATTCTAAAACTTACTAAATGGGCAGCTTCTTGCATTTGTTGCTGTGTTGGTTAAGTGCAACTTAGTAAACATAGCTACAGAAAAAGTGAATTTGTTAGAAATGTATCTGTGAAAGGCAATGTGATCTAAAATCCTAACACACGAAAATGACATATTTCTCTATTACAATAACTATTCAAGCACCTTTCAAACCTGTTGCATCTGACAACAGTGAAGTGGAATTGGGTCAATGATCATTAACTTTTTTTGTCATCTGGAGATTAGTTTATTACAACATACATACACTATTCATGTTTTCCCTAGTGTTATTTGTTAAACTTTGATCAGTGTTCTTTCAGTTTCTCATCACAGATAAATTTAGAAAAGTCTTAGCTTTTATCTATTACAGAATTCACACTGAACACAAACATGAAGCAGCTGTGTTAATGCTCCATGGGTAGTACTGACCGTTATCCTGCCTCTGCATGAATGCGATATTTTTGTTCCCTTTTAAAGTTAAGAACTCTATTTTATCCAAGGTCATTTCAGTCAAATCAAACTATCTTCATTAGGTGGAAAACTTTTGGCAGCTAGTCAAGTGTGGCTTTACTGCTCTCTGCAGCATGTTCTCTCAGAACTACCACAGCATCCTCTCTTGATGTAAAGAATCGGGCTACTTAGATTTCTTATTACTTGTCCTTGGACTTCAATCAGTCATGAGCGTTCTTATCATCAAGAGCACCTACTCTTCAGTTTCTCATATACCACTGCCCATAGAAATAGACCATGTTTCTTTCATGCCGGCTGCATAATTTTTCTAACAGAAATGGTGGTCTTAGTGATCTGATAGAATCTGATATTTTTGCGTTTGTGTTTTCATTAAAATATTGTCATAAAAACATAAAGAAGTTTTTAAGCCATTTTCCACCAAAGGATGGTCTTTCTCAATAATCCTGTTTATATCAAAGTACCTTTGTGGCAGTTGCAGGGAAAATCTGATCCCTGGGCAAAATATGAATTTGTTGACTGTGTTCAGGAAAGTGTTTTGATACCACCTGTGTGAAGACTGTCTGCCTCAGTATCTCAAGACTTTTGCTGTTTTGTTAGCTGTTTTGTTAGCTTCCCAGAGACCAGCTTTGATCAACATCTTTTTCTTACCTGGTAACCGCATGTATAGCAATAGGTAAATAGCACATACTTGTATTATAGTTTCCACTTTCTCATCACTGCCCTGGACTGTCGTAAGACCACAAGTCATCATCTTTGAACAAAATGCGTCTGTCAGTTTTCTTGTGCAATGCTTTCATGTCAACTGCTTCTTTTTATTGGCAAGTAGAAAGTATTCCGCTCAGACTGAATAACTGAGGAACATACTCATATATTACTGTAAGCAATTTTATGTAGGTTTAGTTCTTATTTGAAACTTTCTCTACCTAAGCTCTTCAAAAGGATACAAATTCTGTGTCTTGGAAATGTAATAGATATGAGAATACCACTCTGATAGAACTCATGTTGTATCCATACCATAGGAGACATCAGCTTGGTTGTTCTTCTGTCAGTCATCCTACAGCTGACTCTCAGGCCATTTACTGTCTTGATTTTTAATTGTATCATTGTTTCGTTTTACAGAATAGCTTCTGCCAGCTAGGTACTGTGGTATTTTAGTTGCTTTAATGCCACTGCAACTTTTAAAACTCAGATTCTCTTTTCAGCTTCTGATGAAACACAGCCTATTTCTTCAAGATCCACAACGTTTGCTATTCCAGAAATGCCATCAACAAAATCTGGTAATGACATTTCTTGAAAATGTAGTTTCATTAGTGTTAGGAATTCTCACAAGAAATGTCCTTGTACTTTTGGTTGTATTGTTAATTTACATTTCTTTACCTTGGGGTTAATGTTATTGCAGGAAGAAGGTGGTATATTGCTGCATTTGGGATAACAACGTTGAAATAGTAGGCTTTTAGGATTATCATGACACAGAATAGTGGAGTATTACAGTTATATCTTATGTTTTTGGTAATTTCATATTACACACAAATTATAATTTTTCTGGAAGTTTTAAGGACAGAGATGACTCAGATTATCATTGTTTATTTGTACTTTGGTTGAACATGAATTTACTCATACTATAATTACCAATTTACATCAATATTGAGCCCTGCCCCGATTCAGCTGTCCTGATTTTGCAAAAGCGCCATATCAACAGATTCCCTGAAATCAGTATAACTACCAGCAGCCACCAGTGGATAGTTATTCTAAATAAATAAATAAATAAATAACAGTACTTTTGTCACTCATAATACTCTATTTGTGCAGTGTAATCCCTAAAATATCTTTTGCTTCAAAATTATGATTACAGAAATATTTATACAGAAATCTTTATTGTGATAACGGGTGATTTGACAGGTTCAAGCTGAACATGGTATTTGTTTGGTTTGGTTTTTTTACAGTAACTGTTCAAATACCTTTGCAACCTGTTATATTCGACTCAAGTAAAGTGGAACTGGGTGAATTATTATGATGTTTTCTTAATGTCTAATATAATTTCTCAGACAAGCATCAATATATTTTCTTTTACTGGCATCTGGTTGTGAAGACTTACTCTTCGGCATCTTTTATTTCAGGTTTTAGGATAAATTCTAAAGCCTCTCAACAGTTCATGTGTTACAGAACACATATATAGTGTGGTTAGGTTAATATTCATGATTCTGACAGTTTTCTTGTCTCTGCGAATGCAATGGCTTCTTTCTTTCTAAAGCTGAAAATTTTATACAACTTCATGCTGTTTCAAGTTGTTTGCACTGTGAATGTTCATTTGATGGATTTTTTTTCAGCATCTAGCATACTGGATGCCCCTTCCAACCTCAATTATGCTTTGTTTCACTGATTCTGTGATACTGCTTTAGGTTGATACCACATGCTTCTGTTATGCAGTGAACCATTCCCACATGACTTTCAAAAATGCAGGCTAGCGGGATTTAATGTATATTCCACATTGCATGAGGTGTGTTTATAAACTAAATGATAAAGTTTCTAACTTTGATGTTTAGTAGTGAGCTTTTGTGTGCAGACTAAACAATGCTTCTTGTAGCTTGAGCTATTAAATTGCCTCGTGTCTTTGCCTAAAGAGGTCATTTACAGGCTTTTTTCCATGTATACGTTTTCCAACTTGTGTGCATAAAGTGATGTTTTTAGGCTGAATTAAGCCCTGATTCATAACTTTATGCCTAATTTCTAATGTGAAGGCATGCTGTATCAAAATAACATTAGGCATTTGCAGCTCCTTATTTAAAAGACTTATCTGGAACATCCACAATAAAGTGCAGGGGAGAAGGGGTTTGCTGTCAGCTGTTGCCATTGGATGGAATTTTAAACTCAGATGCAGACAGCTGGCCTTGTAGTAAATGCCTCAAAATTAGATGTTATGTGTCCAAAAAAAACCAACCCCACAAGACAAAGAATGGAGTAGGCTACCGCAAATATCAATTAGAAGTGTGTATACAAGAAATCTAAAATAAATTTAGACCTTTCGGACCTGCTAATAAAGGGCCAAAGACCACCTTATCTAAAGACTGATCTCACTCATTGTTTCAAGATTGTTTTCATATTTGATCTTAGCTACCCAGGAACCAGGCCTGAAATTCACATCTCATCCCTCCATGGAAACCAGAGGGAGCGTGATGGGTAAATAGCATGTAATTCCATTAGCTTTTCCATCCCTTGCCTTCATTTCCATTGGCTTTGGATAGTGCTAAGATTCATTCAGACACATTGCTTTGAAGACTACTTGATGCTAGGCTTTTTTTTTTTCCTTTTTTTCCCCCCTCTCAACTTGGCCATTTCTGTATAATCAAAGCTGAAGAATAATTTACTGCACTGGCTAAATAACAGTCTACAAAAAGACCTCTGCTAGCTTATGTTGCCTTTAATTTTCTTCTGGTAGTTGCAATTTTCTTTCAAAGAATACGTACTTAAAAAAAAGGCCAGTGAGAAGAATTCTACCTAGCCTGAGATACCAGAATTGCCCCTACTTTATTTCACACCAGCTTCAGTGTTTATGTAACACCTCATTTCACAGCTGATCTTTAAAGCTGCTGCCATCTTGCTTGATCTCACATCAGTGTTGTCTTGAACTGCCCAACAGCTGCTCTCCAAATACTGTGGCTCTGAAGTCACTACTCATTTTAACTCCAGATTTTCTTTCAGCTTTTGATGAAAAGCAGCACATTTCTTCAAGATCTGAAACATCTGGCATCCAAGAAATGCCATCAGCTGTACCTGGTAATACTTGAAAATGTGATTTTAAATAGAAATTCTCACAGAAATTTCATCATACTTTTGGTATATTGTTAGTTAAGTTTAACATGAATCAGAATAACTACAGAACTGTCGTAATTTGCTCTCTCAAATACCAGACTAACTTTGGAAATTTTGTATGATGCTCTAAAACAGTAAATACTCTCTTCTAATTTTGGTCTACATTCCTAATATATTTACAAGTCTGTATTGCTGTGCTTGATGATAATAGGCTTTGGCATGACTTATTACATATAGTAGCATTCTCTTTTTAAGTTGCAATACTGCAGATGGGCAAGAGTGAGAGCTAATGTAAGTTTTGTTTAAATCCCTGAATGAAACTATTCTAATGGTTGAAAGTGTTGAGTAAGTCCCATAGAAATAACAGGATCAATAGCAATGAATATGTAGGCTTCAAAATAGTGGAGAATGGCCCCTTAAGTCCTTTCATCTTAATATATTTAAAGCAGTTATCTAAGTTAGACATTTTGCTGCCAGTAAGTGAGACAGCATAGGTCCAAGGCTAATAGAAATAAAAGCATGCTTATCACATATATTGCTGTATTGCTTGAGTACAACTTTTTAAACTAAACTGCACAACATTGTAATTAAAGAAAATATTTGCAACAAATAGATTTTGAGCTGGCGCTTCTATGGTAGATGTGATGCTTTCAGACACCTTGAAACCTGTTATACCAGACCCCAGTAAAATTAAAGTGGTTGAATTTTGGTATTTTCTTGACATTTAAATTACTTACACTGATTAATATATAATGATCTAAAGTATATAGTTTTCCTGTTCTTCCTTGCCAACAGTTATTCTTTAGGATTCTTCTACCTCCGCTGTTCAGAAAATAAACTAAAACGTACCAATGCCTTACAAAATGATGCTGAACAAATGCAGTTCTATCAATGCTCAAGGTTCTGCTTGTTTTACTGACCCTGCATGAAGAAATATTTCATTTCCTTTCAGTAATGACAATTCCATCCAAAGTCTATTTCAAGTTGTTGCCAGAATTCCCTTGCAGTAAAAAGTGGACTAAATGGGTATTTAACAGGAAACTTTTAGTAGCTGTCCAGCTGCCTGTAATCACAGGTTAATGGCAAAGCTTGCAGGTTCCCACTAAACATTCTTAAAATCAAGAAGGCGAGATGAGTTAAGTTTTATGCATTTACTCTTCAGAGGTATTAATCAGTCTTTATCATTAATGCATCTTCCATACTGAGCAATAACTTATGATCAAGTGCCTTAACAGAAAGTTTCAGTAATGGTTTTCTACGTATTGATATAATAGCACATCCAAGTTCAATTCTTTATTTTTCATGCTTTGCCTATAAAGAAGTTATACTGCACTCTTTTCAAACCAGAGGGATTGATTTCCCAACACTTACAGTGTTTGAGAGAATGGAGAAAACCATGTCTGATCTAGTCTGGAATGCAACATAAACATTTCCATGGAAGGATAAGTCCCAGATTTGAAGGAGAGTTAAAAATGTGATTAAATATGATAATAATGTTTAATTAACATATTCTAGGCATAGGCTTGGTATGAGATGAGAACCATTAGCATGTACAGTTGTGTGTATTTAAAGGAATTCCTTGGAATAACTTAAGGAATTCTGGTTTTTAGTTTTGCGTGTGTGTGTTGGGGAGGGGAGGAAGGGAGAGAGAAGAGAGTGAATAGAAGGATCTTTGAACTAAAGGAAGGTGAGGAAGTCCAGCCACACAATGAGGACTGCAGTGAAATACTTGCTTACATGTTATTTCCCCTGGAGTGGGTCTCTTAGTGATCATAATGTTCTCAATGATCTCTTTTAAAAACCTATTGCTTAGCTGGTCACTTGTTTATTAGTTGGTTTTAGCAAATGTTTACTTGCCAAGGTTCTTCAAGCCTGTTTGAACTCCTCCTCATTACTTGAAGACTGATTAATGACTTCACATTTATTGTGCTCTACGGAGCTATACAACTCAAAGAACTAATGTGGTTATTCAGGGAATGAACAATACTTTCAATCTAGTCTTACTTTTTTCCTTTAAAACCGGTGTTATCACTTGTGCAGAGACTGCCTATTTCAAGATGAATTTCATATTTGATTTAGCTACACAGGAACTAGTCCTCAAGTCTACATCTCATCCTTTTTGGAAACCAGACAAACAGTGATGGGTAAGCAATGTGGGATTCCATTTTAGTTTTCATCACATTGCCACTTGCTTCCTTTTTTCTGCTGTGAACACCTTCAGACATGTTTGCTTTTAAGTCTAAATGGCAAGCCTGTTGAAGAACTGTTTTGTGTCAATCACTTCTTGATCAGCAGCTAGAAAGCATTTTTGGTACAAAGTGCTAAAGGACCGGTCTTTTATACCAACTTGTAACAATTTCATTTTTCTGTTGGTGTAATTTAAACTCCAGAAAGTGTAAAAGAAGTTGTTTCTTAGGAGTTCTGTCTAGCATCAGATATTGGATCCTGTTGCCACCATATTGGGCTGCATATCTTTCTCTTTATTCACATAATACAGAGAGGACATTTAAGCATTCAGTATCTTGCTTGTGTTTGCAGTTACATCATCTTGAACAGCACAACTTGTGCTGGGTAGTGTGTTGTGCTATCCCAGCAACAGTGAGATTCCTCAGCATTTTAAATCCAGATTTTCTTTTCAGCTCTTAATGAAACACAGATAGTTTCACAATTCATGTCTAAAGCATCTGGAGTCCAGATCAATGGATCTCCAGTCCATCAGTCCAATCTAGTAATGACATTTCTTGCAAACTGAGTCTTCTTGACAGTGAGGAATGATCAAAAGGGTTCCCAGTGTGCTTTTGGTGAAACGTTTGTTTAATTTTCCTTACTTTGGGGATAAGAACAACTGCAAGATAAAAATTCTGCATCGGGTGTTACTTTCATTTAAGGAAATGTAGATGATGTTTACAATGCTGGATTATGATTTTTTTTTTATTCTTAGTTCACTTTTGCAATACTAATTGGTACTATTACCCATAATTGCCATTGACCAATTATGTATAACTTAATGTAATAGAAGTTTACAGTATACTGTCCTGGGCACTTCTGTGCCTGTGAAATACTGTGAGGCTGGTAATCGAACTTTAACTTCTCCATTGTATGCAGAGTGTCCTGATACAGATAACTACTGTATTGCCTGAAGTTATACTGCTTTTTATTTTATATTTACTTTGTTATTACTATAGTGAAGTTTTGTGGTTATTGGTATTTAAGACATCTTCCTGGTCAGTTACAATGTTGGTATGTGTGTGATGTGTGTAGGGAATTCTCTTTCTAGTTTTATTTTCTGTTGACTGTTCATGTTCACTTGTGGTTTTAAAACAGTTAAAAAGTTGTTTTTTTATTTTATTTTTTCTTTGTTATTACTATAGTGAAGTTTTGTGGTTATTGGTATTTAAGACATCTTCCTGGTCAGTTACAATGTTGGTATGTGTGTGATGTGTGTAGGGAATTCTCTTTCTAGTTTTATTTTCTGTTGACTGTTCATGTTCACTTGTGGTTTTAAAACAGTTAAAAAGTTGTTCAGTTGTGTAGAATATTCAAGTATATTTCCCATGAAGGAGGACTCTTAAGCTATGCTGTAGTGACAAAATTCTTATTAGGGAGATGAAAGATAGTACAGTGGGCATTGCAAACCCAAGTTCAGGTTTTTTTAAATAGCTCAAGACTTGGTAGTCCAGATATGTCTGGAAGGAGAAAAAAGAAATATATGTTTATTTGAGGAGATAAAAGGTTTGTTGGCCTTCCGCAGGCCTACCCAGTTTCTTTAATATTTTTCTTCCTCTATGGGACAAATTTAATGCTGAACACAGGAAATCTCCTTTTCTTCTTTTGGTATACTCTGAACCTTGTCTTCTACTGCAGACCCCTATAGATACTTACAAATGTTCTATAGTATTCCCCTGTACATTAACAAGTAGGTACTCTGTTTTATATTTGCCATCTTAACTGCTGTGTTTAACAGTTCTTCAACTCAGTGCTAGTAAAGATGCAAACATTGGCTAGGTAATTCAGAAAACATATTTGTGGCGCTCTTGTTATTCCCATTTCTCAGCAAACAAAATGAAGATGGAGAGGACAGTAAATAGCCCAGAGCCACAGAGAAGTGTGGAGTCAAATGGATCATTGAAAGGAAGAAATTTCTGAAACTCTTTCAGTTCATCCCCCTGTCAATTAAGTCTACAAACTTTTATTGCATTTTTAAAGGATGATGTTTGCTTAGACTGGAGGAGTCTAACAGAGTTCTTTCAGGACAAGAATTCCATGTTTGAAATTTTCTCTTTGTTGGTCCACCAAATTTGTGCTCTTCCACTTTTCCTATAATATGTTCTTGCAAGTGTGATGGCAGTTTCAAAATTTTGATTCCATTTGCTGAGGTATCTACTGTTTCACCTGTCTTCTGCTTGTGTTAAGCATTTGCTCTATGCTTCTATCAGAAACTCTCTTTTTTTTTCAATAATACATTCTTATACAAGGGATTTTTATCATGATCCTTGCATTGCACTGTTGTCATTTGCATATCTGTTCACTAATTTCTGGAAAATAAATGTGACTCTTCTTTTAGCTCATGCTTGTCTAACAAGCATTATGAGATTCTGTCTGTTTGAAGTACTTCATACCTCTTCAGGATGAAAACCTGCTCCTCTAAATTAAGGAGATGCTGTTTCATTAGAGGTTCTTACAGATTTTGGTTAAGAAAGCACAAGTTGTTTTTGTTCTAGTAGCTGGCTCAACTCTTGATGGAAATTCTTATTAAGTTCACCTGTATGCATATTTCTGCAGAGAAGTTATTGTTTCCTTTTTTTCCAGGCATATATTTTTTTTAGCCCCAAAGTTCAGATTTCTAAGGATGGTGAAGAATATAGTAATCAGAGCTAGTTAATTGTTTTTCAGATTAAATATAAGGTGGTCTTTTCCAGAACTTGACAGTATCTTTGATGCAGGCTGAATTTCTGGCTACATACTCATTGACTAGTTCTCAATTTATAGCTTGAAAATATTTGTTTGATGCTAAAAAATGGATTTTGGGATCTGTCATTTATTGCAGTTAAAAGGTAGCTCTGGAACACCATGACTGCCATTATTATCTACTAGGAGCAGTGTTTAGCCAGTGTTTGGGGTTTTTTTGGTAATACAGAGTGGCAAAATATTGATGTATGATTTATTTGGTAGGAAAAGTATACCTGAGAAACCACAATTTAAATACTGATTTATTTGGATGTGATTGAAGTGATGCCTTCATACGCATAGAGAGACTGCCATAACATCTCAAGATAGTTTCCATCTCTAATCTTAGTTCTCCCAAGACCAGTCCTGGAGCCCACATCTTTTCCTCCACTGGAAACCACGAGGACAGTGATGGGTAAACAGTGATTCCATCATAATTTCTATCATTTTGGCAATACTTAAATATGAAAACCATTATTTTAAAATTTAGTCAAAACCTTTTGATTATTTTTCCTGCTAGTGAAAATGCCAAACATATCAGTGAGGTGGTCAGTCACTTATATAAAAGGAAACAAGGCGATACTTAATTGTTAAGCTTCTCAAGCCCTCTTTGTAATTTTCTGCTCTATAGGCCTAGTTCACTAAAAGGTTAACTGTTTGTATTCTACATTAACTCAACTAGGCCACCCTGATTTAAAAATGGAATAATACTGTAAAGATTGCAAGTATTTATGTACAAAAGCTGAATGTAATATGGGCTTCATTCATTTAAAACTCTGTATTGACACTGCTTTGAAAAAAACTGTTCATCTGTAATATCTGAAGGCAGTTTTCTGGTTTAATCTTAGTTACTCAGAGACCAAAGCTGAAATCTACTTCTCCTTACCTTGCAAGCCAAGGAACAGTGGAGGGTAAATATGGTATTTTCATTTTTTCTTTTCCCCTGCCATCACTTGACATAATTTTCATCTGCTTTGAGCAATACCTGGGTTTGTTAATGCACTTTGGCTTGCGAGAACACTTGCCATACTAACGACATGATTCTGATGTTTGAACCTATGCTTTTTTCCATCACTTAAAAAATCACTTTTTGCAGACACAGCTGGCAAAAAGAATTTGTCACAAAATGCCTGTGTCTCTCTAGATGCGGTTTTTATTTTGAAAATTCTTTCTAGAATGAAATATTCCAATATGGCAGAAACATAATTTTACTTCCTCTTAGTCTTGCTATTGTTGTGGTATAGCTGTCTCATAGATTCCTTACAAGACATCAATTATTTTTTCCTCTTTCATTTCACTGACTTGAGCACTGAAGTTCAAGCTTGGTGGATAGGCATGTTGCTCATTGGCTTAGCAACTAACCTAAAGGAAGAATGGGAATTTTCAGATGTCATGGGGAATGGTGAGGCCTTTCATGGGAATGGTGAGGCCTTATATAGTCTGTTCTTTGTACAAATAATAATAATAATAGTAACAACAACAGTAAGAAAATACCTTTTTGCAAAAATTATTGAACTTCTAAGGAGAATTGGAGTTATGACAGAATATTTATAGGATAATGTGCAGTTTATTCCTTCATGCAAGGATAAGGAAGTATTGAGTATTTGTAGTTGCTTGCATTTGAGAGGTACCCACCACCTGTCATCTCGAATTCTGAATCCAAAGGTGGGTCTCTTGGCTCCCATGTTCAGTCCACAACAACTGTTTTTTAGGTATCTTTCAAGGAAATGTAGGGAGTGCTTTGGTGAAGTAGTCCTTTAGCCGTTTTTCTACTGATGGAGAGCCATTTAGGTACTGAGTTTCTAAGAGCATTGTGTTAGTTTCAACCACGGCAAGACGGTTGCCTGCTGATTTGATCAGTCACAAGATACTGCCAGGAAAAGGCATGTGTTGCCCTAAATACAGACCTCTGGGGTGTTGTGAGCCGGTGCTGCTTGTACTGCCGTGGCAAGACTGTGTGGATATCTCAAGACCATTTCCATGTCTGACCGTAGCAACGCAGAGTCCGGACCTGGAATCCACCTCGTCTGCTTCACTGGAAACCACAAGGACTGTGATAGGTAAATAGCCAGTGATTCCCTTCCTATGTTGATTACTTTGGCAATGCTTTTCTCTGCAGCGATGAGCCTGTTCAGATGCTTTGATGTCCTGAAAAGTGGGTCCATGATGCGGTTGGCCCCTTATGGCTCCTTATTAGAAATTGCTCCATTTGTAAGCTTTCTGCTGCCCTTTTTGGGGTTCCACTTCTAGGTTTACTCTGTTACCTTGGGCTACCTATGCCAGTTGAAAGCTAGCAACATGCTACTACGGGGAGTGATGCTGTGACATGGAAGCCTGCCCCGAGCAGGGCCACATCTCCGTGTTTATAGCTCTGTCTTGATACCACCCGTGCGGCAACAGCCTGTCTGAGGACCTGAAGGTGGTTTTTGTGTTTGATCTTAGCTACTCGAAGACCAAGGCTGAAGCCCACCGCTCCTTCCTCCCTGGCAACCCAGCAAACCGTGATGGGTAACTGGCAAAACCCCTTCTTTTTCCATTTTCCCCTTTCTCTCTCGCTCCCCATCACGCCGCCCACCCCAAACCACCTGGCATCCTTGTCATCTTCCATGGAGAGTATGAAGACTTGTTGGTGCAGCTTGGCTTGCCGAAGCACTCGCCAACTTGTTCTGCGATTCTGTTGTTTGATCCCATGCTTTTTCCATTGCCGACGAGTGTTTTCTGCGGGGACTGAGTGACAGCTTGTGTAGAGAACGCATTATCACACCTTGCCTTCAGCTGCCATTCCCCTGCTTCTTTGCGTTTTGGTAGCGGGTCTTCCTTTCTCTGACACATTCAAATACGACAGCGTTCTTAGGAAGCAAATCCCGGCTGGGCTGGCACAAGAGGACAGCACTGCAGTTCAGCTGCCCACCAGGGTGTCCTGGGCCAAGGGTGCAGCTATTGGTTGCTTCACCGCTGACTTTCAAGGCAGCTGGTTGTCATCTGCCCACACCTTTACGTTGCCATCACCTGGAAGTGGGACTGCTCTGCTCTACTACTGCTTTTGAGGTCATGTTAGAGTTTTAAGAACGATGCCTCTTTTCAGCTTTCAGTGAATCACAGCGTGTTTCTTCAAGGTTCAAAACACCGGCAGCCTTTGGCGCCTGGCCATGCTGGTGACCTAATCTGGTAACGATATTTCTTGCAGATCTGGTAACGATGCAGGACGGGAATCGTCCCAAGAGATACTGTTGTGCTTTTAGCTGAACTGTTATTTCTCTTGGGCCTACGCTGGGGTGAAGCGTAAGTGTAGAAATGAAATGGCTGTACACGAAAAGCCATATTTACTTAAGGCATTGGATATGGCACTTGGTGACAACGGGTGGAGATGCTCATAGAGATAGCTTCTTTCACATTGGCAGGTATACAAGACCAGTCGTGTGGCCTGGCAGTATTTTTTGGCCCATGAGCTAACAAAGCAATACATGAGCAGGCTGGTAAGCCTACAGACCTGAAATCGAGTGCAAGTTAAAAGTATAACAAACAATATTAACGTATCCTTCCCATTGAGATGCAGTTGAATTGTAGGTTCCCCAATGTGCTGGCCATGTTTCTTAGTGCCTCAGTCTAAGTGGTGGAAACTGATTCTGAAATGTGTTTTTGTGACACTGGAGAAATCTTGTATTTTTGTCAGCTGAGTGTCATGTGCTTCAGGGTCTTTTCCAATGATGCTGCAATTGTTGCCTGTATTAATCCTTTTAGGCTCCTTCTGCCTTCTCTTTTGCAAGATAATGCTTTCCGTGTATCAGAAATTATACAACTTTCCTCTGTTACCTCTATTTTTAAATAGTTTTCAAACTGAGTTTTTGTATGTCACATCTCATCCTGCAAGGCACAAGCAAGTCTTTCTTTGCCTTTCACCTCTTTTTTTTAGTTAATTTTTACGTTCTTTTTTCTTATTTTTCCGTCATATTGTCTGATGTCTTTGAATATTTCTTCATATTTCTTGCAACAGCTTCTTCATCATTTGCATCACCAGTGCATCTTCACACATTCACATTAGAAAATCCATTCCATGTGCATTTGAGGTTTTTTTCCTGTCTGAAGTCCCTAGTTCCTTAGCAATAGGTTCAAACCTGTTCAGTCTATAGGTTCAGATGATGCCAAAAAGAATTTTTTGTTTTGTTTTGTTTTCCAGCTTCAGTGGACTCTCACCATATTACTTTCCCGTCCCATACATCTGCGTCTGCAGAAATATCAAAAATAAAGACTGGTAAATTGTGTTTATGATACTTCCATAGCTTAGGATTTGTTTTTGTGTCAAGGATGTTACAGTTACAGGCTGTTTGCTCTGATTGCTTGGTGTGGTCTGAAACAGAATTTTGTCTGCAGTGTTTGGTAGTTAGGCTCTATAACTACATGATGATATTCTGTGGCATGGGATCCAATAAAAAACCCACAGGAATCAATATTGTTTTGGGTGGTTTTAATCTGTCGGATATAAGGACCACTAGCTGGATGGAGTCATTATCAGTTATGAAGGTATATTCTTGACTGGGACATTTTACCCTGGGTGATTTTTTGTTAGTCATACTATACACATCTTTTTGCAGTTTTCTCCATTACTAAGCACTTTTTTCAGGTTATGTTATGTTGGAACTTTTCTTACTGAGGTCATAGCTATCCAAGGTTAAATTTGTATTCATAGCAAAGGTATGAATGTGCGAGAGATGAGAAGGAAAATTATCCTAAACCTGACAGTCAATATTTCAACAGTATTGTTTTGAATTTTCCGCCTCACCTTCTGGCTCTTGAGTATGTCACAAAAGTTGTGTTAATTTATGTTACGGCAATTATATAAAATATCACAATTTTATTTAAATGACAAATTACATGATGTGTACTATATTAAAACCTATAACTCAAAATACTGGCATCTGTTAAACTGAAACAAGCACAGCGTTGGCAATAGAAATAGCTGGTTGTAGAAATTCATATTAGCATATATTTTAAGTGTGTAGGTCCCTTTCTACAGATGCAGGTGAAGTCAAAAGCACAGGTTTTTTGATGCTACATGTGCACAGATCAATTGACTCCTGTTGATAAGTCTGCTTTTAGGGGGACTGCAGTTTCTGTCAGGGTGTGTCTGTTAGGTGCGTGTGACTTTGAGGTTTTGTTCATTTCTTTTCAAGCTGGAAATCTTGTGAAACTGTGATATTGGAATCTTGCAAAGCAATGTAAAGCAATCTTACTTTTTCTGATTTCCCCCCCTCCTCCCTATTTCTGCACCAATATGAATCTATCTCTCAGGGTTATTTACATTTTTCTGCAGTTACAAGTTCAGCTGACCTGGAAAAATCTATGCCTCCACTTTCCAGAACACCTCATGTGCAAACCACAACTATGGGTAATAGTAATGCTTTGGCTTTTCAGTTAAACCACTTCTGGTGTTTTGATAGCAATTTTGGAAATCCTATTCATCCCAGATATTTTGGTCATCTGCCATACTTGTCTTCTGCTTGAGTCATGATCATCAGTGTAGACAAAGTACCCTTTTTCACATGAGCCAAGACAACTTGTGCTTGCTGCTGAGAAACTCACCTGATAGTGTTTCTGATCTTACATTTGTCTCTCAAAAAGCTACTAGTGCTATTTTGAGATATATTTAAATGAAGTAAGGTTGGTTTAATAATAATAATAGTGCCTAAAGCTTAATAAGAATCTTAAAATTACCTGTTTTCTTTCAAGCTTAATTGTTATACTCTCAGATAGATGGATGCACACTTTTATATACTCTATATTGTTTATGCCAGCATAGTAAGCTTCTTTCTTACTATTTCTTACTGTTCAGTGATTTTTTTACTTTATTTTACCCATTTTATATGTGTATAAATGTACACAGATTATACAACATTAAAATTCACTAACAAAAACTTGACAGAAAACAAAGCACTGAAGAGAATTAAGACAGTCTTTTTTACAGAAATATATTTGCAGTGTTTTTTAGTTTTGTAGATTGTCTTTTTTCTGCCTTTTTTGGAGCGCTTTATGCTTATAACCGTGGTGTTAGAAGTTCTTTTATCTTTATATTTTCTGGGTTGCTTTAAACTACATGGACCATGCTATCTAAAGTAATACTAGCTTTGGTTGCTTGACACCTTAGTTTCAGTTGTGATTTTAACCGCTAGCTTCAGCTCCCACTCTAAACCAGCACTGCTCCATTATCAAGGTAAGGCATGCTTATTGTGGGTGGACCTCTGCACTGCAAATTAGGTATGTTATAACCTATAACAAGTTTTGTTTGTTCTTATAAAACAAAAAAAAGCTATGTGTAGAATTAATATTCATAGATACTGTGACCTGGTTTTTTTATAGCTTTCAATGGTATTCAGCCTGTTCTTTCAAGCCTTGTGACACCTAGTAAGCCTGAAATACCAGATGCTGGACCAGGTACAATAATCTCTACCTAGTTCTTAATTTAGTAGCTCAAACCATGCTCTAAAACTCACTGAAATGAGTACACTGGTAATCTTCACTTTCAGTGCACATTTGGATTAGACCCTAACACCTGAATTTTTAATTTAGATTGCTGTTAATGGTTGAAATTGGTGCTTTCTCACACTTAAAATGCATATGGCAACTCAGTCACGTGATTCTCCTTCAGTATTTTGAAAAATATGCCACATAGATAATTAAGAGAACAGTATTTATTGCCCAGTAGTGCTGATGAAAATACTGCAATGTATGCTGTAGACAGCATTCTACTGCTGCAGCCTTCTTAAAAATACTGAGAGTGTATCCTTAATGGCATGAAATTTGTTAACAGTCATAGACACTTGATGCTTTGGACTGAAACCGTAGTTGGATCAGTTGTCAGCTTTCTACTCCAAATTTTGCATTGTTTTAATGTCCAACTAATTGATTGTTCAACATGTCTTCTTCATTAAATTCCTACATTTTACACCATACACCATCTTCCTTAAGTAATGGACCAAAACTCAAAATGTTCAAGTGGTCAACTTAAAATCTTACTTGGCAGTGGTTGAGATCCAGACCAGTTGCAATGAAGGCAGAAGGAAATGAACATCCAGAATTTCTGCAGATCACAAATGCGATGATTTATAGTTACTGAAGCTCTGTGCAGTTCAAAAGACTGAATTTCTCTCTAATGCATACTAAACTGATAAGTGTCCAAGCATTAGTGAAATATTTGTTGTTCTTGTAAAAACAAATTTGTTTTTGCTTATGAAGGGTTTCTTCCATTAGCTCTTTGCTCTCTTATGACTGTCACCATTTCTTCCAACAGCAACAAGTGAATCCATTCTGGAATCTTTCACACCTAAAACTTCTCGTCCTTTTCAATGGCCAAGGGTAACATTAGGTAATGTTTTCACCCAGTGAAAAACTCTGTGTTTGTTTTGAGCACTTCATCCCATATGAATGCAAATTTCTTCCAGGTTTTGAGCACTTCATCCCATATGAATGCATATTTCTTCCAACATATCATTTCACATGCATAATCATTATTCTTTTTCCTGGTTATAGAGTCTTGTTCTTCCATTGTCATTAAACTGATTCTTCTTGATATATCTCTGTATGAGAACATAGTTCAGGATGGTTTTACTGTCCTCAGAGAAGTAAAACTTGCCTCTTGCATGAAAAACTCTACCATCCTTTTATTAAAGTGTACTGTCTATCTCCTTCACTCTCATGCACACGCATTTGTTGTCTTTGTCTCTGATACGTAGAGCTTTCATAGTGGAAATTTTAATTGTTTTGGAGACATAGAATCTATTTCTGATCAAGGCACAGCACTTCAATATCATCTCCATTCCACACTTTAAACTCTGACTTAATCAGACGGCTTTGACATTTCATACTAAGTTGTCTTTTCTTCAATATAAACTTATGGCATGTGCTGTTTGTTGTGGGAAACTCGTTAAACAATTTTTGATTGCAAACTGAGCACTTTCTTTCAGCTCCAAAGGAAATACCACTTATTCCTTCTAAACTGAAACCAGCTGCTACCCCAGAAGTACAGCATGTGAAACCTGGTAATTGTGCACACCATTTTTATAAGTCGGTATGCAGAGACATATGTTCACTAAAAATATCGAAGCAAAACTTCCTAAAAAGGAGGGGAGCTATGCAATACATGAGCATCTTGACTAACTCATCATTCTAAAATCGGTCATTTGATGTTGCCTAACAAAATGTATGAGAGTTAAGCTCATCAGTTTTATGCATTTGGGTCCAGTGATAAAAATATAAACAAGTTCTCTAGTTTTGTAACCTTTTTAAAGGACTAGAAGGGAAAAAACTTCTTCTGGGTGGCAAAGGGGGTTTTTTTATATCACTTGTATAAACATTATATATGATTATTATTTCTATAATCTCTTTTGCCAGTCCCCATCTCCCACTTTCACACAGACATACTATGGCAAAAATGGCATCTTTGCTAGTCACAACAGTTTGTTGATCGAAAGTAAAGTACTAGTCATGTGACCAGTAAGTCCTCCTGCAGGGAACTCAATAGAACGGATTGCCATTTTAGTGGAAATAGGAGAGCTTTCTCAAAATAGAAGGGGAAATTTTCATATACACGTGAGATTCGTTCTTTGACCATGGGAACATTACGTTCATGTCATGTCTTTTTTCCTTTTCTGCTTTTTGATCAAAAAATAGATCTCTGTACTCATTTTCTTCTGATTTGGGACTAAGGGAGATGAATTTGCCTCTTTTAGTGATTCAGGTACTGGGCCAATACATATTACGATGTGCATTACCAGAGCCCTAAAATGTTTCTGTTCTCATATCTTGTAAACAGGCAGGTCAGTAAAAAGCAGGAGTTGCCTTTGATGTCTTATATGTGTCTTACAATCGACTGCAGGCTCTGATTTAAGATTTTCAGCAAGATTTTGGCATTTAGAAGTTTCCTCTTTGGTATAGATCCTCTGGTATTTGTTATGGACTGCAGTCTTTTCTTCAGTCAAAGCCCTCATCTGTCCTTTCTCACTATTCTCCCATAACGTAAAAGAAATGTATTTGTTGATGGAATCAAACAATGGATTAAAAATGTGCTGAGAACATAAATACGGGGAAGGAGCCTCAGAAGCAAACTCTCACACATAGCCATGAACATACAGTATAGATTCATAGGAAACAAAAATAAAAGGAGTGTAGGGTGTTACGCGTAAGAGTAGGACTTAGTTGCATGCTTATCTAGTCTATTTAAAAACAAACCAACCAACCCCCTGAACTACTAGAATGGTAACGCTTTTGGCTTACTGTTGATACAGCTACTGATTTGTTCGATTACACTTGAATTTTTCTTTTCTAGCCCCTAAACAACCACTTTTGGAGCCTAAAACTTCTCAGACTGTTGAACAACCAAAAGCAACACTAGGTAATACATGTTTCTGTAGCTGTTGGTCCCTCTTCTTTGCAGTCCACAGCACAGTTTGTACTCTGTTTATTTAATCTATATTTAATCCATTTCTCTGAGAGAAGAAAAAGGTTAGGAAATAAGCATTCAGAGATACGTTTTTCTAAACTTAGGAGAAAAAGAAACTTGAGGTTTTTTCATATGGTTTTACTGGTTCTATAGCACAGTAAAATTTCGGGGATCAGAATTGTCTTCCATTTTGTTGGGAGTTTTTCTACACCAACACACTTTACCCTCAGAAAATCATCAGAAACCCATTGGAAATACTATTGAAAGGCCAAGTGCAAGGTTAGTATTGTGAATGTTAATCCTAGAACTCTCAATGAAGGATTCCTGTGGCACTAGGTGGACGTGTTAATTCTGCTGGTTTATATGTCGATCTGAATGTCATTTTGGCTTGAAAAACACTTCTCAGTCACTTCATATGTCTTATTCTATGCTGTTCTTTCTATAAATGTCATATGCTTTTGCACTGTGTCTATTGTTATGAAACTTCTTGGAAAGAAGTCTCATAGCACTGCTTTATAAAAATGAACAAAATTACTGACTATACTACCTGAAACTCACCTTAAACTTTATCTGATGTCAGATTAACAGTCATATTTAGGTAATTACAATTTCAGCCCATGCATGTTCAGGGGAAAAAAGTTTCTAGGACTGGTTGCTCTTAATTTTTACCATTTAGATGAAGCTACTTCTATTTTATTAACAGAATTCAATGACTACAGTTATGAAGCAATTCCCTTTTTTATTACTGATTCCATGTTTTTCCAGCTCTCTACCATTAATTTATTTACGGTGTTGAAAATTGAGGACATTTTTGCATATTTTGTCTACATATGTCTTTTGATGGCTTAAAATCGACTTGGAGTTCAAAAGGATAAACAGCATTATTATTTTACCTCTTAGGTGTCTTGCAAAAATGAATTTGCTAACTTAATGAGAGGAACATTTTGATGTGATTGTAAGCTACAGTTACATATTGTAAATTTACTTACTGACTTTTACAGTGAAGATCAAGCAGGGATTTTGCTGGGGTCGTAAGTCTTAGGAAGATTTTTGAGAAGCCTTCTTAGCAAATCTGATTTTGCCATTTGCTTTTGTTGCTAGTAGCCATTCATTGCTTCATTTCAGGCTTGACGAATGTGATTTTTATGTGATACAGTGGAAAGGATAATCTTATAATCCAGTATATTTCTTTCAGCTCCTAAAGAAGCAAAACTCACACCTTCTGCATCTAAACCTAGACCATCCGCCAGACACAAAAAGCCACCAACTAAACCTGGTAACTAACTTCTGTAGCAAACATTTGTTACAATGTATCACTTAAGTAGTATAGTTTAAATTTATTCTGTGTGAAGCTCAGCACTTAATCATCAGAAAGATGGGCACTGAGGGGAGCTGTGCTCTTTGAGGAATATTATTTTTATATTGAACCAAAAAAATTTGAAGCAAAGCAAGAAAACTTTTGACTTTTATATCCCAGATCACCAAGTCGCATGGCCTCGCATTGAAACAAATTGTTTTCCTGCTTTTCATTTCAAAATAACAAGTTTTCCTACTTAGTTCAGCACAGGTTCCAGAAAATGCAAATTCTCCCACTTTGCTGATAGTTGTAGCATCTTACCTAGAACCATAGGATTTGTATTGATTCAGTGATCATTAATGTATATGTAGACTTAACCTGAAACTGTGGAAATAAGAGTGAAATTATGCTCTGGAATTTAGTAAAGGCATATTTTATGATGGCAAATGAAATTGCACCTTCACACCGGGGTTGAATTTGGTCTGTGATGTATGTCAGAGAACAAAAGGCACCTGGCATTTTCTGGAGCTGAAGAATAAGTGAATACAGTTACAAAAATATTACTAGTGTTACATGGTTTATAATGAAGTTAGAAAGCTTAGAATTGCATAATTGTATATTGTAAGAATATATTACTTAATCCTGAAGAGATCAGGCAATATTATTAAATTCTTTCCAGATTCTCTGTGATTATTTTTTTTTGTTCATAAAAAGAATTACTCTCTTCAGACCAAATAATTCCTTGTGCAGCTTGTTAACTGAATGGTATTTATGACTTGGAACTGTCTCAAAATAGTGTGCATAATTAGTTTTTCATGGTGATTACAGCTCCTACAACATTTTTAGTGTAGGAAATCCAGTATTGTATTACTAGAATAATTACATTTGTCTCTGCTGTAGATACCTATGTCTGACTATAGACCTGAGTCCTGCATGGGTTTTTTTTGAAACAACAGAGAAAAAAAAGAACTCATTTGGAAACTGTTGAATAAAATTGTTTTACACCCTTGGACTGCCAAGATCAATGCTGTACATTGATGTTTCCACAATGAATGGCTCTATAACAAGTTTCTATATAACTACAAAGAAGGTGGCATGATTCTGTATTTGTATGCATGCCTCTTGTTTGTCCTTTCCTTGTTAGTGGTTTCACTGATTGATCAGATGGAATCCTAAGAAACACTTTTTAATCATAATTAAGCTTGTAATGATCTTCCTGTAAGTAGGTATTTGTGAATTTGGCATTTGTTCTGATGGGACAAATGATGATATTCTTGTTCAGAAATTATTATTTGAGGCATAAAATATGCAGTGCATGGGGATAACCTGGCTTTTGGGCAGGTGGCAAAATGGTCAAAGAGCAGGATCTCCTCTGTATTCCAGCATCACTTGGGAGTTCAGCTTAAGTTAGAAATTTGTGCCATGACAGTGGTTGTCACCTTTCCTTACCAGTGAATCAAAATAATGAAGAATATGTGCCAAATTCATACTTGATCACTGATTTACTAATGACCCACTTTGAGTCAAACAGAATTCCTGAAAGTTAATTTTGGCTCTCATTGTTAATAAGGCTTTTGTACTGTTTCTGGTAAAGTATTTGTCTTTTAGCAGTGGAGCAAAAAACTTCATTTAAAAAAAACCCCAACATATATACAATTTTCAGTTTTTCCAACCAACCAACTGTACATTCTAGTGAAAGTTTGCAGCTTCATTCTTTTTCTTGATATGTGGGTAATTGAATCTGTTGCCTGCATGAAAAAAAAGTTCTTGTTGCCAATGTGATGATGCCGAACCACTGTGCTTACTTGTATCGTTGTTAGCATTAATCTCTCTATCTAAGCATACTAAGTTCTCCATTTTTCAGGGAAGGACATTATAATGAATTTTCTACCATGCATCCAACTGCACTGCAACATTTTCTTTCCAGAAAAGTGCAAGAATAGCTCTTTATAATGAACCCCTGTTGAGTCACTGTGGATGCATTATAAATTTGCACTCTCTTTTGGCTCTAGTACAAAATGCCATTCTTCGTATGCATCCATGCATTTCCACTTGTGTGATATGAGACTTTTGCAAGAGAACTGCAGAACTGTTTTAACAACAAATGGACAGACCTTATCTGTTGTAGAGGAGGATCTCAACCACCTACTATTTGTAAATTTCAATAGTCTCAATACAGTACTGAAGTTAAGATAATGTTAGATAGATTGGTGCATACACGTAGTTGTTCCTTTTACAGTCTTCTCTCCCTTACCAGGACGATGAGAGTCCTGGAAGGACTTCTAAACATGCAACTTCTGAAGTATAGTCATACCAGAGCACCATGCCTTCTCAGCCTATGAAAACTCTGCTTGATAACTTGGTGCATGTCTTTCTTACTATTTTCTGTCCTTCGAAGTCTCAGGTTACCTGGCTGCTCAGTGCTTACAACCCAATAATCTGATAAATAACATCAAGAGTAACTTTTATGTCCAAGTCCTTTTCTATTGTCTGGGAGTTTTATTTAGATGCTCTGCTTTCAGAAAGGTCAGAGTAAATGAAAGGCATTTTATTTCCTCCCAATCTTATTCTCCTCTCATCATCATTCTGAGAAATCCATCTCCCAGCTCAACCTTTTCTTTTTATCTAGAAAAGTCTGCATGAAATGTGAATTATATATCTATTAATGAACTTTTTCTAAATGGGCTGAGAAGAACTCATTACCAGAGACTTCTAGAATCTCTTTAGGATCGGGAGGAGGATGGCATTGTTGAATTTTATGTTTGAAAAAAACAAAGAAATGAAAAAGAAAAAACAGGTCTAAGTGATGTAAGATTCATCAGAAAAACATGGTGCGATGAATATATGGCCCTAGGTTAGTTCTGAAAGAACGTGCAAAGTACCTAACTTGTAGGTTAGTATGTTTCTTATTGGATGTCCCTGCTTGGATTTAGAGCAAAGTGTAGTGCTGAGGCACAGATACGTTATGCAGTACTCAGTGCTGCCAGGTGTAGAAAAGTAGTCTCCAGTTGTTAAATAGGTAAGAATTCCCTGCTGATCTTTGTCATGACAGAGCAGTACTTCCACATGTGGCAGTTCAGAGAAGAACTTGGCAAAGAACAAAGAGATCCTGCTAGTGAATGATTTTTCTGTAGCTGCTTCTGTGTATTCTCATTCTTCACCTTTTGACCCCAACTAGTACCAGAGCCCTGTGGCTGGGAGCAAGAACTGATTGCACTGGCTGGGTTGGATTTATTTTTTTTCTTTTTAAAAAGAACGGTGCTGTCACTTCACATGAGCCACTTCATGCATTATCATTTTCAATGGCATGGCTTTAAAGGGGATTGCCTTGAGGAGAGATTTACCTACCCAGCGAACGTTACTTTAGAGATCCAATTCCCAGAGAACATAGGAAAACTTCATAATTGCTCTCCATTGGAATTTTTTTTCAAGTTTTCAGGCCCAGTAAAGCTTCTCCTTCCAAACCTAAAGTCTTTTTGCATCCAGAATAGCTTATGACAATGCTGGGTAATTGCTATGTCCTTTCACAGAATCACAGATTTGTTGACGTTGGAAGGGACCTCTGGAGTTCATCTGGTCCAACCCCCTGCTCAAGCAAGGCCACCTAGAGCCAGTTGCCCCGAACCATGTCCAGACAGTTTAATATCTCCAGGGATTGAGACTCCATGGCCTCTCTGGGCAACCAGTTAATTGCCCAAATTATTTGTCCTGAAGACGTTTTGGAGTATTTTGCTGTCTTAGAGTAGTTGCAATAATATCAAATACATCAATCATTAACTATAAAAAATGCCAGTAAATAAATGAGGGAAGATTTAAAAGTCTGAATGAAATATGTCGATTCCTTTATTCAGTCTTTTAAACTTAAACACAGTCCCCCCAAATATAATCTCCTCATCATAAACCTTCAGGCAAGGAAATAAAAACTTTTAAATTAATAAAATAATTTTATATCCAAACTGACAAGAGTTTTGGAAGTTTTAGGTCTCAGATTTTATTGTATTTAAAAGTTTTAAGATAACTTCCTCAAAATGAGTGTACTTGTGAGTCTTAAAATGTTTGTGAGCTTCAACATGACAATTTGTCAGTATGTCCAAAAATAAAGTTTGAGGCACATTGTACAAGATTCATAAATCATTTTTTCTTTCCTAATTAAAATCTGTATCATCATAGAGAGAGAGCACACCAGGAAGTATAGGTAATAAAAGGTAGGCTGAGAAGAGTCAAAGCAGAGTAAACAAGTGAAAAAAAGTTTGAAGGTTTGGATAAGCACATTGATTACTTAATGATTGTAGATATATTTAGGAATGAAAATGGACTCCAACTGTAAAGTCATGCTAATACTAAACAATTCTACCAAATTTGTCTTCAAAGTTCTTTATATTTTTCAGAGTCTTTGGAGTTCTTTCCTTTCAAACCTAATTAATTACTCTAGATAGAGATGGGAAGCTTTTTAACTTGATTATCTAATGTGCTGTAGCACTAGATAACCTACTGGTATCTTCAGCCTTACTTTCTGTGACTTTGCAGTTAGTCACACCTGAAATCTTTCACATCTAACCTTTGCACCACTGTGGAAGAAACTCAAGAAAATTAATAGAAAGGTTTACCAAAGAAAAAAGATTTCTCTGGAACTGTTTCTTTTCAGTGGTCTACAGTCATAAAGAGGAAAAAAAATTGTGAGGAAAACAGGAAGATGAAGACTCAGAGAGCTCCTCTGCCAGTGGTGTTCCTGTAGCATAAATACACCTTTTATTTTCAAAAAGCAGCAAAAGCTGCACAGAGTAGTTACTGGTGCTTAAGAACATTCAGTAAATTTATTACTTACTCAGTGTTTCCATTTGAATAGTGGGGAGGAGGCGGATTTTAATGGGGAAGCAAGAGCAGCTGAGCCATACCAGAAGTTGAGAAATAGATACAGATGCACCTGTATTTCTCTCAAGAAAATTCTCTTTATTCCAGCAGCAACCATTCCGGTGTCAGTCACTGCTAGGAGTCCCTACACATATGAACGTCCAAAGACTGCAGAGGGTAATGATTGCGAGTCACTTTTAGTCATTTTTCTTTCCATTGGTCTGATAATATGTGCAGTTGAAAACACCGTTTCCTGTAGGCTTCTTGCTTATTCATATGTGGTCCAAACCCAACAAATGGAAGTATAGTCTTGGTGCTTTATTATTTCTCCATGTTTCTAGCATGGAGATATTGTCTTCTAAAAGACAGGATATCACTTCAAAGGTATCTGATTAGAAGATTCAATTACATTAGGAAAAAAAAAGAATAAGAATTATTGCAATAATAAAGATTTTATGAAATACAAAAATAATATACCTAATCTAAAAATCACATCTAAAACTACAAACTACTGAACAATTTCTGCAGAAGGGGGAGTTCCGTGTTGCACATAACCAAGCATTGCTTGATAATTTCTCAAATTTATGGAAAACATTGCATCCAATATTAATCCATGGAAACTTGCATTCAATTTAAGAAAATAAAATAATTCTAGTTTTAGTGAGGAGGAAATTTTCTATAAAGTAATACATGATCACTACCTTTTTTTGGTATGGGAATATATATTTAGTGATGTGTTTAATAAATAGGTTTTTAATGGAGACTAAGAACAAAGGTGTCCTTTGCAGCGAGCCTTGAAATGTTCTATCTAATTCAAAGGAAGATTTGAGTCACTGTTTGCATTTACTTTGCAGATTGTATTCTGAGAAGCACTTTAAGATGTTTGCAGAGGTATAGCGTTGCTCTTTAAAACCCGGATGAAGCCAACTACATATATAATACTTTACTGGACGAGGATGGCTTTAAGTCTGTGCTTAAATGATTTCATTACATAGAATCAATTTGTTTTGGTTAATTAGCAACAAATCACTTAGATTCACTGTTTCCAACTGCAATAAGTTCTACTTCATAAAGTACTCTCAAAACTCTTCTAATGACCTTGATTTGCCAAGGTCAACATTGGATAACAATGTTTTCTTAGCATCATTTCTTAGCTCTCTTTTCTTTGGCTTTTGGCTAAACTCTTAGATGTTCTTCTGCAGCAAAATTAGCTTCTAACTCTTTGATTATCCCTTTCTTCAAAGGCTCTGTCTGCTTGTTTTGCCCATATCCAATAATATTTCATGCATTAAACCCATAGCACCATTCTTTTCTGTGTTTATTCATTGATACGAACTGAAGGTCATTTCCTAGACTTCATTTCTTCATTGCTGAATGTCTGCAGGACACCATTTACTTTCAGCTTAAATACTGGTTTTTACAAACAAAGTTTTTTCCAGTATCCGAAATGACAATCCACACATTCGAAGCCCAGATCATCTTCTAAGACCAAAACACCTCAAGCTAAATCAGATAGGGCACACTTCTTTTGAAATTGTGTACTTTGAGGCTTGCTATTAGTGCAGAAAGTAAAAGTGAAAAACTTCAACTTTTTTTTCCTGGAGGAAAAGGAAAGAGAAGGAAGTTGTTCATTATTTTGGGATAATATTTATACAAAGAGAAACCAAATTGCCTCAGAAAGCAATTTGCAGACCTAACAAAGAATTTAATTTTATTCTGAATATCTGAAGGGGTTTTTTTCTTTTTAAGAACTCACTGATTTTTTTGAAGGCAACCTGAAAATAGAAATGAGTGTTTTATGGAAAATTATTCTGAATTTGAATTCTGAAGGTAATTTATGAGCTTGAATAAAAGCAAAGTCAATGCAAACCAGGGATACAGAGTGAGCACATTAGAAAGATTAGTAACTAGTTTAAGTTTTCTATACAGTAGCTGGCCATTGTTGACAGAAATAAGTTAATGCTGGTTGTTTTGGCTTTTTTTCTCATTTGCAGCAGTATTAATACTAGGCTATATTATACTGTGAATGTTAATAGAAGTGTAAGAAATACTGTAGTATCAAAAGCATCAATTGCAAACAAAGTTTTATAGTTTTGTTTATTGTAAATGCTATTTTTAAAATAGGTAGATGTATAAGAGAGTTTGGGAGATAAGTGAGTATAGGTTATAGAAAAGGTTCTATCTTTAGGTGTGTATGTCTATGTTATATGTTACTTTAGTTTTTACTGCCTTGAGAGGGGAGAATTTATCAATTAATATTATTTTAATATATTTTCTGTACTGTCAGCAAATTTTTATAGATTCTGCCATTTCATAATTTAGGATTGCGGGGGTTTTTTTCCTTTTTTTTTCCCAATTTGTCATAGTTTGTGAGGAAATTATAAGAGGATACAATGAGAAAAAACTAAGAGGCTTTATCAAAATAAGCTTTTTCAGATAATTATATAGCTGTACCAATAGCAGCCTTTTAGTCCTCTGCTTGACTGCTCACCATAGAGGAAAACTTCAACTGTTTTGTCATGGTCAGCATGCCACTTTCAAGTAGTAGCAGACTTCAGTTAGGGAATACCTGACATTTTTGTGTATCAAGAGTCCCTTGCTGTCTCCGAGTTCAGCTGTGTGATCTCTTCCCTTGCTTGTTCTAGGATTTACTGATTTCTACTGATATATTTTGGCTTCCGTTGCCATCAAGTTTGTGCAATTATATTTTTCTTACTGAACCTGTATTATTAGGAAGTTTAATTGTCCATGGTTTTAAAAAGTAAAAGTTAATTTGAAGATCCGCATTACCGTGGTGTAGTATTAGCACCTGCTTTTATACTTACCGGTGGAGTAATTTTAAGGTTTTTGGAGTACGTTCCATACTTACCCTGTCACACTGTTTCTGTTGCAGTCTTGGAACCTCTTACACTTAGAATTGAACCACCAAGGTCAACAATAGGCAGTGATATTTCCTTGGCAAGCTGTCGTGTTTGCTTTTTTCATCACAGAAAGCATCACTGAAGTTAATCACCTTATGCCTTAGGATTGTTTCATTAAACTTCATTTTTCTTCTAGATAATTCTCTTGCTTGGTTTTCATGACAGTTGGGCATATTGCTTTCTTCACAGTTGGAACATCTCCTTTTTTTTTGTAAGAAAACAATGCTGGCAGCTCTGAATCACCTTTCTCATAATTACGCTTGTCTGTGCTCATCCCAGCTTTTTATTTAAAAACAAACAAACAAACAAACAACTGAGCTTCAAAAATGACTAAAATTCCACTCTCTTGCTTAGATTGTTGTAAACACACAGAGAGTATTACCTGACTTTCTTTCCTACTTCCTATAGGCTTTTTTTCTCTGTTGCAGGTGTGAGGTTTCTGGGTTTGTGTGTTCAACTTGATATCAGAAACTAATTGCTGTGCTATTTAACCAACTCATTACCCACATTTTCTCTTCCAGCTCCAAAGGAGACTCAACGTTTTCCTTCTAAACCTAAAACTTCACCCAAACCTCATATCCCACAGGCCAAAGATGGTAAACTGCTTTGTGTGATTATTTCTAATACAGTTTATAGTGGATTGAAACTTATTTCTGAGCAGCTGTTATCTGAGCCACTTAAAACATAATGGGGTTCTGTTCTGATGTGTGTTCAGTGATTTATTTGCAGGTTTCAGGAGTAGTAACATTCACTAGGTATTTTTCATAATGCAAAAGAATAAATCTCTGCTACTTCATGGCAGCAGGATGAGAATATTGTTGTTAAACTCAGATTACAGTGGTAACTAAAGCAAATACCTAGCAATTATTAAAGTATGTATTATGGCTACTTAGGTGGTACAATTCTTTCCCACAGTGCTTTGCATTGTTAGGATAAATACATTTCCCTTTTAAGTCACAATTACTTAATTTCATGACATTATTATTTTCTGCATGAACAAGTAAATTACCCCATGCATAGTTACTATTTGTTTATAAATATTAAAATTTATTAGCATTAATGGTCATTTATGCCGTATTCCAAAATACTGGATATTTATACTATGTCATTAAATGTGAGTGCAGTTGAATTCAGTGGTAGGCAGAAAAAAATTACTCTCTGTCCTCTGCTATCCAGTTGGTAATATCAACAGAAAATTACAAGGGTATCAAATATCAACATGTGTCATCTTTTGGTAAATGTGAAAAATTTCATGATAATCACTTTAGTGAAGATCTTTAAATTGTAGACATGGAGCAATATTTTTGAAAGCTGATGTTATCTATTAAATATGATTTCCTCATGTAGAAAACAGTCAAAATCCTTGTTCTCTCATAATTTTTTAACCATGTCAGCTGATTATAAAACATTGTTTCCAAATGACAACTTAAAATGCAACTTCTTATAAACTCAGTTTTTACCTCTGTGGCCATTTTTCATTATTATGGTAGTCTGGCCTTCTCAAAAAATGGTTTTGTCACACAAATGCTACAGGTTTGTACTGTTCTGTGTTTTAAAAAAAAAAAAGTTTCTTCAAGAATATAATATACAGAACTTTTTTTACAGCATCATCCACTTACCTTGTGATTGTCTTAAAAGATCAAAGAAATTTTTTTCATTGTCACTCATACAGAAGAATTGACACAGAGAGGGATACCATTTCTATTGTGCCTCTGTTTCTAATGTGGGAAATGCAAGAAAATAGCATCAATTTCACATCCTTATGCTACTTAAACACCCAGTTTTATTTTAGATCCATACCAGTTTAGAGCTGAAGTATGTGATCATGCAATGCAATACACTGTAATGCTCTTTAATAACATAGCATCCAGAAAACAAGCAAGTGGTCTCTGATTCCAATTGTATATGTAAGCTGCATTTGAAATACACCACAAAGGGAAGAGATCTGTGTCCCTAAAAAGCCATTTTCAGAATAAGGGGGTGATACATATTTGGATATCTCATTGAAGCCCAAGGGAGAAACTAAGCTCACATTATGTTTTAGCTGACACTGCTTTCTCAGAGACTTCATTTAGTATAATAATTTTTGTATGAGGCAGTATACATAGTATATAATTCAAAATGCAGTTACTAGACAAGTAATACTAATTGTAAGTGGAATTATTCTCTTCAATTTTCATAATAGCTTTTATGTTTTGTTTATGATACAGTCCTGGAATCTATAACATTTAGAACTGATCAGCTAAAACCAACAATAGGTAACACTTTTACCTACAGGGACCATCACATTTAGCTTTTTTCTCAGTATACACCAAGCATCACAAGTACATCTTCATTGTACTCCACTGTTATTTTTTACTATTAAATTTAGTCCTTCTGTAAGGGGTTTTTTTTGTGATTTTTACACTAACAATTCACAATCATCTTGTTTGGGTTTTCTCACACAAATGTGTTCTGTAAAGTGGATGGAAGCACCACAATCTACCTTTGACTACATGTCTCTCTACTCAGTTTCTGTTATGTGCTGCTTCATCTTTTATACTAGTCCATCCATACCGCCCTTGCTTTACGTTATCCTGTTAGAGAGGTTCTCCATCAGCACTATTTCTTTGTATACCAGACATTCATACTTCTCCATTACTCATACAAGCTTTTTGTGTTTCCAGAGGGTCCCAAAGGCATGTGTTCTTTTTTAATATTATGCCTTCTGTCAGTCTCAGTTCTTGAAAGACTTTAATAGTTGCATTTTTTTTTTATTTCAGTTCCAAAAGAAACACAGCGTGTTCCCTCCAAACCTAGAACATCACCAAGCTCAGAGGTTCCACACACCAAACCTGGTAAGTACGTTGTTTCTTTATCTTATCATACTGATATGTGTTTTATGAATGCTACTGTGATCAGTGGAGCTTCAGATTTATATGTATCCCTTGGGCATAAATGTTGGAGCATTCCTTGAGGGATAAAATCCAGTATCACATGTCATGACATGTGGAATTTATAAGCAACCTGGTAAGTTTAATATCTCTATCTTCAGTTCTTTTTTACATTTTAAGTCACTGCAACAGTGGGCATTTTCTGTGCAGCTGTCAGTGAAAATAGGTCTTTTCTGTGTGAATTTGCTTGGGTTTTGGGAAAGTGAAGGTGAAAAGGAGGGGTGTCATTGCAAAGAGGAAGGGTCTTTTTCTGTATTTCTCAAATTGTGTACTTGTTTTTTCTTTCCCAGGCACAATCATTCATTTATACTTTTCAGTTCACTTTTGCAGAGCCCTTATGTTGTTCAGAGATTTAAGAACATGTAATACTTTCTATAACATTGTTTACACAGCTTGGTATAGAGCAATATACAACTGCGGGCTAATTAAGGATGGAGGAAGAAAGTTATACAACTCACACTAGCAATTGCATGAGGTACTGTGGTGGGTTGACCCCGCCCAGCAACCAAGCACCTGCTAGCCACCTGCTCATTCCACCCCACAATGGGTAGGGGGAAAGAATCAGAAGCGCAAAAGAGAGAAAAAAAATCGTAGTTCAAGATAAAGACAGTTTAACAAGTGAAGGATAAAAAGATGGGAAAAAACCAAGTGATATAACGGCAACCACTCACCACATCCCACTAGCAGACCAACACCAGTCTAGGAGCAATGGGTCCTTTGGAAACACTACCCCCCAGTTTTGTTGCTAAGCATGACATTATATGAGGTGGAATATGCCTTTGGTCAACTTGGTTCAGCTGGCCCAGCTGTGTCCCCCTCCTAGCATCTTGCCCACCCCCAGCCTACTTGCTTGGGGGCAGAGTGGAAAACAAAGAAGTCCTTGATTCTGTAACAAGCACTATTCAGCAATAGCTAAAACATTGCTGTGTTATCAACACTGTCTTGGTCACGAATCTAAAACAGAGTACCAGAGGGGCTGCTATGAAGAAAATAAACTCCATCTCAGCCAGACCCAGTACGGGTATCCAAGGTATAAGTAGTATTAGATGGTGCTGTTGGACAAATGGGCAGAAAGATGACAACTAAGGTTCCTTTTTGTAAGTCTGTGCCTATTGTTTGAATCAAAACCTTGAAATAAGTCAGGAAAGTGTACAAAGTTGAAGGTGAAAAACCACCCACAATTTCTTTGTGGTGTATTACAAAAGCTTCAGATTTATATTTGGGCTCTGTTCTGTATTAGAGCTATTGCCTAGAACTGGAGGCAATTCTGAGCAACATAATACTCTGACATGTATTGAGTTTCAAGAAGGAGTGACCATCTGTCATTGGCTGTAGCAAGGATGGTATGGTCATTGTGGAAGTAGTGATTGTAATGTTTTGATTGTTCTCGGTAATACTTGTTTTTGGTTTTTATCACTCTAATGCAGTTCTGGAACCAATTACGTTTAGAACTGAGAAACCAAAGTCAACAATAGGTAATGATACTTTCTTACTTGAATAGTCATGTTGTCTTTCCTCTTCAACGCAAATCATTAAGCATAGGCCTGCAAAAATTTGTCACTTTTCTTTGTATGTGCCTTAATAATTTAACAGTCAAGATTCTCTGTCTCTTATTTTCTACAAAACAATTGAGGAGGATCCTTGTGCCTTTCAAGTTGTTATGCACAAAACATAGGGCAATTTCCTTCAATATTTAATGATAAGAGGCAGAGGGTAGATCAGAACAGGATCGTAGTCATACTGTAGAGGTGGAACTGTTCTAGTTAGTCATATGGTTTGGGTGAGCAGAGTTGCATGCTGCAAGTTTTCTTTCTCTGCTTCCCTTCCCCTCCAGTTTTACTAAATGAAATTCAGTCCTTCATAGAGGTCTGAAAAATAGTTCTGTTTCACTCAAACCTTAATTCCACTGTCAGAACAGAATAACTTCAGTGATCTTTGGGTCATATGATTTCTTGAGGCAGATCCATTTGACTAAGGCATTTTTATCATTTGAATCTGGTACTGCGAATCATTCCAGTACAACCTCCATTACAGAGCAGTGGTGCCTTTGTATTTGAAGCTACTTACTTTGTTTTCTTCTTTTTTTATTTTTTTAAGTCTTCTTCTTAAATAGAACCAGTAATTCTGTCACATGCTTCTGTCACAGAAGATTATTTCTTTTCTGTATAGGCTGATTTTGTTCAAAAAAAACCTTCTCTTTTGCATCACTTCCATAGAATATCTTTGGTTCAAATCTTTGCTCTGTTTTTGTTGACTGTTATGTGTGGTAGTGGACACTGATACCTTGGAAAATTTTAGTACAGTGTAACCCAGTTTCTTTCTTTCAGTTCCTAAAGATACACGTCATGGGCCTTCCAAACCTAAAACATCACCCAGCCCACGTGTTCCTCCAACTAGAGCAAGTAAGCTTATCAATATTTTGCCCTTTAGTGCATGAAAGTTTTTATCAGTTTGAAAATTGTCAAAATAGATGAGTTCTCTGAAGGTACACAGATACTTTTTGAATATGTTGTGTTTTAATGACATAATCAAATTTTGCTATATAGCTGTCATGGAACAAGTTAATCAGCTAGATATTTATACATGTCAATAACTTGTATAATGGTAGGGATGTGGGGGTTAACACTCATCTTGAGCCCTTGCACATAGGAAAATTTGTGTCTTAATTTCCATACAATGTGACAGAGGTGTTTGTATTTTGTAGTTACTCATTTACAAATGTAAAATCACAGTACTTTCCTGTTCCCAAAACTTTGGAAATAGTTCTGTCCATTTGAAAATTAGTGGTAAATTTCCATGTTTCTTCTGCTCTGACTGCTTTGCTGGAGATTATTTTTTAATGCAAAGTTGATTTAAATGAGCAGCAGATTTTTGGAATATGAAACACTTGAATAGCACGACTAGGGGAACTGTTAGAACTACAACAGTTTACTCTTTAGAAAGCTCTGTTTGATAGAGCTGAGAGGATTGGAGAGTTAATCCAACACTGCACTGTAACAGTCACTTTGTCTTTAGTCTCTGCCCTAACGTAATATTGATTGCATTGACAGGAGATCTCTTTGTGATTATTTTCAAATGGAAGAAATACTTCCTAAAAAATTCTTTGCAGAAAATGAACCTCCTGTCAGGAAAATCAAAAGACTTATGTTGAATCATCATCCTCAATAACAGATTCAAAACTTTGCTCATCTTCACAGGTCCAAAAGAAAGTCGGCGAGTCTCTTCCAAGCCCAGAGCATCACCAAGTCCAGATGTACCACACACAAAACCTGGTAAATACATTGTTGTTTTGTTGTGCTTGAATATTCGGGGTTTCTTTTGGGCGGTCTTTCCTCAATGAATCAAGTGTTGGTTAACATCTCTTCATATTAAAAACAAATAGATTTTCTAATGATCATTAAATGCGTGTTTAAAGGAAGATAGAGCTGATTTGTATTTTTAATGGCTGAGTTTTGATGAGTTGTATATGCTTTTCAGCCCCATGACAGCTATCACTGATGAAAAATCTGCATAGCAGGGTAGACAACATACATACATGATAAGAATGTTCTTGGAAGAAATTGCCTCTCTTCTGTGCCTATCAAAAGATGCTTAGAGAAAAACATATTTTAGGGCCTTCGTGTATGACTCCAAATATCTGTAACTCAAACCACTCATATGTTTGTGTACCCTGGTAATGGAATTTGACCCTTAAAAATATACTTAATAGGGATTTACATACTAGTGAACTGCCAAACCTCTGTAACTCCTGATGGTTCTGAAAGCATCAGTTGAACCTTCGTTTTGAGTGAGTGCATATCCACTAATTCCACCAATAAATAATTTAAAAAAAGAAAAGAACAAATTCAAGTACGTGTTCCAATTTGAAAAGAAATTAGTCATGTAAAAGGGAGTATTTTTACCCTTTTGCTTGTACTTATTGCTAATTCTCTGTACGTTCTTGTTCTTATGAAGTCTTGGCACCTACTACATTTACAGTTGAACAACCAAAGACAGCAACAGGTAAAGATGTTACCTTGGGCTAGTCATCATTATTTTTTCCCTGCTGCTCCTTGGATCAAAGATTATATATCATTAGTCTGTTTTTCACATCATCTGTTTGTGGTTTTGATTTGTTTTCTTTTCTACTTATTGAACTTAATTCTACTCTGTTCCAGGTATTGAAAGATTCCCTGCTGTTCTGTTGTCTTCACAGAAAATTTCTTTCACTCTCACACACATTGTAATTCTTTTGACACTTGTAGGAGACAAGCATACAATGGGTATTGCAGTTATGAGCTCTGAAATACATATGGAAACATGTCCACTATAGTTGTCTGTGTTCTTTCAGTTTTTGTTGCTTGACTCCAGATTTTGCTTACTTGATCAATTTTCCAGCCATGTTTTCATTCATTATTTTCTTTTCTCTTTAAATTCTTGTATGTATCTGACACTCAGTTTTCCAGTCTGTCATGTAAGGATCTTGTTTTTCTTTGCAAGCACGAGGCATGCAGTGCCTGTGCAATAAACCTGTCTAATTTCTGAAGAGTATAAACCCTTAAAACAGGTCTTTTCTTTCAGCTCCTAGAGAACCACAACATACTCCCTTTAAACCTAAAGCAGCTCCCATCCCAGATGCTCCACACAGCAAGCCTGGTAAATTGTCAAGCTGCGGTTGATAATTGAGCAACTGCTTTCAGGGCGGGCAGTGGGGGGAGTTGTCAACAGTACACTTGCTGTTACCTGGGTATCACTGTAGCTTAAGAAACCTCTGCAATGCTGCAGTTAAGTCATACCACTGATGGAAGCTACAACAGTTTAAGATTTTTTTTTTTTATATTATGTCGATATTACCAGAAGAAGAAACAGTAGTGACCTGTATGTTTAAATCAATGGTGAAAAGTTTTTCACAGCTTGTATCTGAGCAACACATGTCAGTTTTTTGCACCATGTTTATGAGAGAAGCCTCTTAAAGCTGTTGCAGTGCTTTTCCTTTATTATACACATTTTCATCCAGATTAGACTGAGGCTTCCCTTCAGTTGTATTTCAATTAGGAGACTCCCCATCATGAATCTGGCTGACCTGTATAAGATAATCAGTGGTTTCACTGAAGGGTTGTTATTGTTGTTTTTTAAGTATCTAGATGTTAAAAACAAACAAAAAATTTAACCCTTTGTAACCATAAATCTCTGAGGGTAAATGCTCATTGCTGTTTTAAAACATCCCTTTCCTGGTGTATATAGTATAATGCTGAAAGTTTTTTTTAAGGGGCGGGAGGGAAAGGGAGAGTCTCTTCATTATTCTGAGCATTTATCAACATTTTTTCCAACAGAAATCATTCCAACCTTCCATGAACCAGATACTACTATGATTCCTCATATTCCTGAAAGATCAAAGGCAACATTGGGTAATCATGTGTATTTCATAAATAATTACTCTATTTTCCATTCTTGTTAGAGAAGATATTCTTAGAGCGAGCTCATTACATGATATTAAAAACTAATAATGAAGTTTTGCTCTGCTTCTAGATACTTGCTTGCTCTTTGGTCTTGATAAGGGTAATAATGCATGAACTCATTTACTTTTGAAGGTTCTTTTCCTTGTCTTCTAGCCTTTCCAGTCAGGATGATGTAATTCCTTCAGATGTTATATATTTTCCAGTAAAAGGGGACTTTATTTAACAGGTAGTGATTCCTATAATTGCTGCATCTGAGGTATGGATGCTGTCATCCTAAAATACTCTTCTGCTTCACTCCTCATGGTATAATTTTACAGAAGAAAATTGCAAGAAAATGATAAGGTATCAACTATAGCATAACATGTACTGAAACAGACCGGCTACGTGACCCTCCAAATCAAATATTAGTTCTTAAAGCCACCTTCTCTGCTAACTTCTAGTCATCTGTGTTGGGAAAACTTGCTGAAATATCTGAAACATTAGCTGAGGATTCTTTCTTCTTAACTTAAATGTCAGATGTGGACCAAATAACAGTCAATGAATCTAAGCAGTATTGGACAGCAGGAGTATTGCTTGAGCAGTCTTTGTTACTAATTAGTTCTCTGTCCCCAGTTTCAGAGATAGACATTGACCATGATTTTCTGAGAATGAAATGGTATCATTAATGAAGTATTAATAGCCTTTTAATAATCTTCGAACCATGTTTTTTCTTTTTGAGGAATAGGAAATGAAAAATGCTTTTCATCATGTTTCTATTTTAAGACATATTCCCTGTATGCATTGATACTTAGGTTTAGTATCATTGGATATCTCTTTATATAGCTTTATGAAGTTTATGTGCCCTGTCATACACATCTGGGGCTACCTGATGCAATATTCGTATGCAGAAAATGGTTCTTCAGAGCAATGGGGATGAAGAATGCACAGGCTAAGGCAGGTATTTTGAGGACCTCTCACATTGGTGTGCATCACAGACTAGCAAGTGCTAAGATAACCTTTTCCAGTAAATGATTCCTACATGGCAAGAATTTTTAACTGAATAGTATGAATATAACAAGATTGAACAGTTCCCACATAAGAACAAAGAAGTTAATTTATAAATCAAGTCTGATATGAAGCATCCACTGAAAAATAGATCCTGTCCTCAGATACTCATGTATGGCAGATGTGGAAGGTGTAGGCTACTACTGTCTATTTTTGTCCTGTTACTTTACTATATACTGTTTGTGACTATATTCTTCACTGCTTCATCCAAAGCTACAAATCTGTATATAATTTTGGGGAAGTCTGTCTGTGTCAGCGGCCATTTAATTTCTTTTCCTTTCTTTGCAGGAATTCCAACTGACTGATTTTCAGCTTTACCCTTACATAATTTGCCTTATTACAGATCAGATTGTACTTATGTTCCTTGTGTACTATGAAAGCAGTGTGTTTTTTCAATTATTGTTCTGGGTGCTGTTTGTTTTTATTTCAGCTCCAACTGAAAAACAGTTCATTCATGCCAAACCAAAAACATCTGAAAAACCAAGAGTGCTACACACCAAACCTGGTAATGGAGTCATTCTTTTAATTTTGTGTGTTTGTGTTTAATCATTCTTTCCCTTAGCCTCGGGTTTTGTGCTTTTTATCAGAATTATTCATGGCTGGTTTTGTGCTGAAACAAATGCATTACACTTAAGTCAGTCAGTCCAAAATATGCCAAAACTACACTGAAAATAATAGTAGGATTTGTAGTATAGCATAAAAAATGTTTTTCCACCTTTCTATTACATATAGCAAATGATGACTAAAATGTGGTAAATGTGCGTGTTAACAAATTTTAGTGGCTAGACAGGCTGAGTTCTCTCTGATTACTTCCTGGTAATCAGAGATGCTTCTCTGTGAGCGTTGTTTTTTTTTTTTAAATCCATACAATGCAATAGAACTCCTTTGCAATGTGCTTGTACAGTTAGCAACTGACATTGTGTGCTTAACTGAAACACAAGTAGTCTTAAAAATAGTTACGGGGGCTGTGTCTCTTCCCATTTTTGCTGTATAAGAAATGTATAGGAGAAGTTAATAGAAAGATAATGATATCTGTCAGCAGTTGATTTTTAAGATATTCTGCTACACTTTAGTTTGGAGCATTTTGAAAGTTTTTGAAATAGTGCAAATGCTACTTTGTTTCTATTACAGTTTAATATTCTAAGATTCTTCACATTTTCTCCTTAACAGCAATACATCAGACAACTCCACAACCAATTATTACAAAATCTTCTACTACCACTGAGCATTCAAGGGCAACAATGGGTAAATAAGTTTCCTTAAAGTTAAGATGCAGGTATTTTTTATTTTTCAGTGGAGAAATTTCCAGAGAACATGCTCTGGTGAGGTATTTTGTGTAACATCATTCCACTATCCTTCATTCTGCTTACACACATGTGTTTCTTAATACAGATGAGTCTCAGTTCTATCCTAGAAGTAAAGCAGAACTAGCCGACAGCTCATGTCTGGTCAGAAGCCTGTATTTGTGAGATTTCCAACCAAATGCAGTGGTCTAATTTTTCTTTTAGAGCAAGAATTTTAGCCACTAACTCAACTTATCCTACAGCACAGTGCTAGAACTTTTCTGTGTTTTGGGTAGTCATTTTGTTTCAGGTTCCAGAAAGCCATGGAATTGTTATTGTCTCTTTTTCAGGCATTCGAGGCATACATTTTCTGTGGGCTAAATATGGCATTGGATCGTGACTCCTGAAGAATACAATAATAATATTTTTCCTTTTCTTTCAGCTCCAAAAGAAACACTGCTTATTCCTTCCAAACCCAAAACATCTGTCGGGCCAGAAGTACCGCAGACTAAATCTGGTAATTTAAAGTTTGTAACTTTAAAAGTGTTATTGTGTCACTGCCTTAGTGATACTTTCTGCTCTCATTTAGTCCTGCAGTTATGTGACATGCATGATATGTAGACAGAAATTAGTATCATTGTTCAGCTCAGAGTATGTTAATAAATTATATCAAAGAGAATGCCCAAGAATTGCATCAATTTCCATGGAGAGCAGAAGTTAAGGTGGTTGGGTTTTTTAACATTTGTTTGTTGAATTGGTGGGTAGTAGCCATTAAAATGTGAGGAATTCTATTAATTTTAATAAAAATATACTGCTGTAACCAGCTTCAATAAGTTCTTTTCTTTGGGGGGATTTTATTACCCTAAATAAATTTGCTTCAATTTCTCAAGCACTTTTGAAACTTGGGTTACAGAATCTCAGTCCAAGATAGTTAGATGCTAAGAGTATAGGTACCTTCTTCCTATCAGTGATTTTTGCAGTAACTACAGTAGATTTAGGGGTGCATAGTTATAATGAAAGATGATGATACCTCAGCTTTACCCTGGGTGTGAACTATTTCCATAAAAACTACTAGATAGGAAGGTTACAGGGAAAAAAAATTGTTAGGGGAGGAGTGACAACATGATTATAAGAAAGAGCAGCTCCTAATCTTTCTTAATCTCTGATCTAACCTCCAAACTGATAATATTTTAGTTTTACATAAATAGGTTAATGAATGGTTTTATCATTCCCCACCTTTTTTCCCTTAGACTTCTAGCCAAAAAGAATTTAAGCAGGGACCCTGTTAATTCAAGAACTGTACATATATATTACTATGAAAATCAAACTGAACAGTCCAGAAAAAAGATTTATTTTCTAAAGGCCTTATTCTGAAAGGCTTCCTGTTAAGTAACTAAGTTAGATGCTAAGTCTCAGCTGAATAAGAGCTATTTCCAACCATGTTGTAGTTAACAAGTGCCATGTTTTGGTACCACTACAAAGTTAGTTTTAGGCAAAGAATTTTAGAAAACAGAATTTATAGGTTTATTCTTTTCCTTTTAAATTTTAAATCATTATGATGATATATATGCAAAATAAATGACTGTTAGGAAAGTTGTTAAAAACACATGGCACTATTTAGCCACTGCCCTTTATGCTAGTAAGTAGGTTACTTTACAGCTTCCATATTTTAACCTTATTTCTGAAAGACAAAGAGACATGTAGTGTGTGCCTCTGCCTGTCAGTCTCTCCTTTTCATCCAGTAACTTAGATATCTTTCACTAAATTCAATCAAATTTGAGTGAGGGAAGAACGTCTGAAAGATAAATGCATTACTACAGGCTTTTAGAAATTTTTTAGGGAAATGAAAATTAATATACCCAGTGTGAGAAAGACCAAAGACTGTCAGAACTCCACCTTTAGGGCATTTGTTCTGAAGTTGGTGGGGGCCTGGCAGAATAGTTGCGCTGTCTGGCTGTCATCATGAAAATACATCCAGACTAATCAGAACATGTGTCTGTCTCATGTCTGTTAAAATTGTCTTAGCAGATGTGTAGAGGATGTGTAGCAGTTGTAGACGTTTTTAGGAAACAAAGGACACAGATCCTTAATGAACCCAACTTCTTTAATTTCACTTCTCACAGACAATGTTTTATTTCTTGTAGCTCCAAGGGCAACACACCTGGGATCAATTAACCTTATAACAGTTCATGTTGTTGATGGGTCCAAAATGACTTTGGGTAATGAGACTATTATGTCAGTTTATTTTTCATAAAACTTTACTTTCTCTGCTTTTGCTATATGAGTAAACTTACACTTTAATTAACAGAAATACCTTAATATATCTTTATATCGTGTTCATTTGTTAGTCACATTCCAGTGCATGTACAAAATGTTGCTGGTTTTAATTTTCCAGCCATTTTTTCTTTCATGTAATTCTTTCTAGAAATAAGTATTTCATGTACAAGGGTGAGGAGTCGTATAAAAAGGCAGTACCTGATCATCTTTTCTTCTTTTGTCTGACTTACTAATGATATATATCTTCCCAGTCTTGAAAAGTCTTTTATCTGTATAAGAGCATGATTTTCAGCCAGGTTTCTAGCACTGACTCTTTTTGTTTATGGTCTGCACAAAGACAGTTTGAATTTCCCTTCCACCTGTGGTGTCTTATGTTTAAAAGGAAATCATTTGCATTTGATAAGCAATAATATCTCCACTTTCAGTTCCCAATGAAACTTACCAGATTTCACCCAAGACCAAAACTGCTCTAGCAACTGAAATTCCATGGTTTAATACAGGTAATTTTTAGGATTTTCTTAAGTTCTTGTATTGAGAGTCTGTAGATCTTAAGTAAAATCAGTACGGCTTAAGGTTTAATGATCTGTTCATCATTACCTTTAAAACTATTTCAAATATGTAACATGAAAACTTATTTTTCCCCTTATCAAATGTTTTTTGTTCATTGCTCTGAAAATCAAGGTTTAATCAGTATTGCCTCAAGGATGATATGAAGCTTTTAAACAGTATTAGTGCTGTGTATTGGATCCTTAGATGTATGGTGTTGCAAACATAAACGTTAACAGGCTTCCACCTTTTTCCTTATAAAATACTAAATCTAAATCTGTAAAACTTTTCCTAAATGTAAATGTCAAAAATGATTAATATGTTCTTTCCTGCATAAGTATTTTCTCTGACACTTCAGAGAGGCTGGATTAAGTGTTGTGGATAGAATTAGATTCGAATATCAAATATCTAGCTCTATTTATTTAAAAATTGGGAGTTACAGGCGTTGATAATTTGGCACGAGATGACAGTGACTACTGCTTATGCTTTCAGCTTTCAGTGTAATTCATACAGATTCTGTTACAACTAAAATATCAAAATTATTTGGCAAGTGAAAGGCAACAATAAGAAAAGGTTGAAGGCTTCTGACTTTAACCTCGATGATGACACTGTGCTTCAGCAGCCCTACACAGTGTCTGCATTGAATGCTTCCAGTTGTTTTCTCGGCAACGTTTTAATGTTTCATGTCCTTATCTGAATATTTGAGGGGGGGGGGGG